AGTGTGTATTTAAAACTAATATAACATGTAATAAGCATTTATAAGTAATATATGCCATCCATATATGATTAATGCTTTCTATCATATATATATATATATATATAACTTTTTTGAAATTGGACATTTTGAAATATGGAGCATATATTTTAGTCATAAATCAACAAATATGGTGCAACTTGTATATTTGTGTGTATACATGTACATATATATATATATATATATATTGTAGTCATACATATATGTGTAACACATGTATAGTTTAATCAGCATTTATGAGTCACATACACATATATACACATATATACACTCATATATTGTTTTATGTATATATATATATATATATATATATACATATATATATATATATATATGTGTGTGTGTGTGTTACACATATATGTACATGTATGTTGATGTATGACTACAATATATGTTCCATATTTAAAAACGATTTTTAAAGGTTGGCATATACGTCACATATATGTCCAGAAATGACAAATATAAGTTGGATATAAGGGAAATCCATACATGCTAATTTATGTTATATATTTGAAATATATCAGATTTCTGTAAAAAGATTATAGAAGATCTCCATCACTATAAGTGCAGTCTGACAAACAGGAGTGATACAGTGAGAAAGCCTGAGGCTAACAGAGTGAAAGGTCACACTCCACCTATGAACTTTTACTCCTTTCTCACAAACACATTCATGCTGTCAGCAAACACAGCAGGCACTTCTCAGTCAGCCTGTTAGCCTGGAGCCAGGAGTCAAACCCGTCCAACAGCAGAGGAGCTAAGAGACATTCTTTTAGAAAGTCCTTGAGTAACGGAAGCTTTCAGCCGTCAGCATTGCGCAAACTGCAAAGGTACAAAAGCACGTAACACAGCAGCGCATGTTCATCAGAAACACATGATCAAATCTACCCATATGGAAAAAATGTATATGGATGTGTATTTTTATATATTTGTAATACATTCCAAACACTAAAACATATTTCAGAACATACTGCCATATTAAAGAAATATATTTTCAAAAGCATTTCTTTTAAAATGTATGGGGAAATATTACACAGAGAAATATACAATGCAAAAATAAATGTATGTAAATGTGTTTATAAATCCATCTGAAAATGTATGAAAACAGCCAGAATCCTGTCTGATGCTCTTCACTGTCTGATACCTTTAGAAATGAGTTTGTTGTTCTAGTCTCTTCATTTTAAATCTGATCTAATGATCCTTTAGCAGGACAGAAGTGAGTGTTGTGGGTATTGATACTCTGTGAAAATGCAGTTATGATCTGATATCTTGTTTATTTGAAATACGTTGTGTGTGTGTCTGACTGCAGACGTACACGGTTAATGTAAAGTCAGTACCGTTCATTCAGCTCATGGATATTTAGTTCTGTCTGTAACCTTTGGTAAAATTACATAAAATCAAAAAGAATATAGTAAAATAAATGCATTTAAAAATATACCGAAACAAACACGTTTGGCCATTTTCATACAGTGCAAAAATATATTTGATAAATACATTTGGGATATAATTTTTTTCTATAAGGGTGTTAGATCTTATATAACAACTCCACACAGTGTGATGATCTACTCATGAAGTTAGCACCATGCTAATTATTTGTTAGCTACAATACCCTCGTAGCTCCAGTGCTAAAACTAAAGAAGCGAACGTCACACACCAAACTATGGACGTCCGGAGAAGCCATGAGCATTTGCTATAATTTTCTGGAATGTTATCTTGAGATAACAAGTTAATTATCTTGTGACCTCAACATAACAAAGTTGGACTTAATTAATAAGTTATAACAAAGTTGTTTTCTCATTATCTCAAGATGAGATAATTAACTAGTTATCTCAAGATAAGTGTTATCACGAAGAGAACACAAAAACGAACTCGTTATCTCTAGAACTAACTCATTATTTCAAGATAACAACTTGTTATCTTGAGGTTACAAAATAATTAACTTGTTACTTCAAGATAGCAACTTGTTATTTTAGGATCACAAGATAATTAACTCATGATCTCAAAATAAAGTTGTTATCTTGAGATTACAAGATACGTAACTCAGTATCTCAAGATAACTAACTCTTTATTTCAAGATAACAACTTTATTATCTTGAGTTAACAAGAAATCTCAAGATAACATTCCAGAAAATTATAGCAACAGCTCATGGCTTCTCCGGACTTCTGTACCAAACATGTCTTGGCTGATGGGCTGCAGTTGGAGTAAAGAGGGGAAACTGGGTGAATTAGAGTTTTCACTGTTGGTGATCCAGATTTAGAGAGTAATCCTGCTGTGTGCACTAAGCCCCTGCGCTGATATCCAACTCTTGTCCTCTAAGACCAGGATGCTTCGTAAAAGCCTGGGTGGTAAACACTGACAGGCAGAGGTTTACAGTGACTAACCTCGGTTACTCAGGGCCACCAAGATTACAACAACATGTTGTTCCAAAGCCAGAGCTTCCTCAGAAACCTCTAATTACCTTTAACCCCTTAAAGCCCAGGGTGAGTGATTTTAATCCAGTATGAATCTGCAGTGTGTGTAGTTTTACAGTCTGACAGTAATAATTGTGGAGCGATTTTAATCCAGTATGAATCTGCAGTGTGTGTAGTTTTACAGTCTGACGTAATAATTGTGGAGCGATTTTAATCCAGTATGAATCTGCAGTGTGTGTAGTTTTACAGTCTGACTGTAATAATTGTGGAGCGATTTTAATCCAGTATGAATCTGCAGTGTGTGTAGTTTTACAGTCTGACAGTAATAATTGTGGAGCGATTTTAATCCAGTATGAATCTGCAGTGTGTGTAGTTTTACAGTCTGACTGTAATAATTGTGGAGCGATTTTAATCCAGTATGAATCTGCAGTGTGTGTAGTTTTACAGTCTGACAGTAATAATTGTGGAGTGATTTTAATCCAGTATGAATCTGCAGTGTGTGTAGTTTTACAGTCTGACTGTAATAATTGTGGAGCAATTTTAATCCAGTATGAATCTGCAGTAATACCAGTCCTGTTCCAGTCACTTCCTGCTAATGTAATAAGTCAAAGTGCTAACAGCCACATCTGTGCAGGGCAGTGAGGAACAAGCTCTGTTCCCCTCTGAGCAGAATCTGCATGTGCAAACCACAAACACCCCAGTGTTTATGATGATTATGTAAAAGCAGCCTGACAGTTTGTGCGACATATGTCTCCTGCTGGACGTCGTTTTCCTGTTACGCAACAGTGGAGCGCAGCGCGGGGGGATGGCTGGAGAGAGAGGCAGCCTGCCACTTCAGCACAAACTAGAGATGAGGCTGATATGTTTTTATATGATAAAACTTGTAATAATAATAATAATAATACGGTTTAAAATTGTAATGATCCTGAAAAACATGTATGATTAGCAACTTTTTCAAAGCTCTGGCAAAACTAAACTGATCTACAGCTACAATCTCCCTGCAAAGCACAAAGCAGAACAACACTTCTACACTGGGGATGCACCGATATGGGAATATCGCTGATGATGATATCCGATATTTTATATGTATATGGATGATTCTACTGAACTGGCTCAGTCAGAGCTGAAAACACATTAAAACTAATGACTGAACATTTCAAAACAATCATAACTCAAAAACAAAAAAGTCAAAAACTCAGCTAACATAGCTTTGAACAGTTGTTCAAACAGAAAATCATCATATTTTCCATTAAAATACTAAAAAGTGCTGAACTGCAGAAAATATGACGATTCTTAATGTTCCACACTGATTTTCAGACTTTGGGACTCATTTACTTCAAAACAATGGGATCTAACTGCTCACCATGTGGCCATGAGGGGCAGGGATGCAGCCTCACCTCCTGCTCTAAAATACAGGGGTGTGGCTAAAGTAAGGCTCCACCCACAGACTAAAACTGTGTTTTGGTAGTGACATGAAAACGTGGGACAGCATATTTTGTGAATTTTATTTTTTTGTGAATATTTAGATCACATTTTTTAATTTACAAATTAATTAAATTATAAATATATATCTTTCAAATTCAACTTCAAAAAATAAAAAAGATATTAAGTATAGTAAGTATTATTTTCAGAAGTGTAAATTTAGGGATTTGGGTTTGGGACAAATATATATATATATAATTTTATAATAAGCAGAAATTAGGACTAAATCAACCTGGATGGCTTAGCATTGCAGAGAAATTCATTCCAGGTCAAATTACATGTTTTGTTGATTTTCTATTTTTGCAAATAAGTTAAAACATTAGTGCACACATTTAAATATGGCATTTTTATGCAAATGTTAGTGCAAGATTTCTATTTATTTGCTAAATTTAACACATCTGGAAACAATGAAAGATAAAATATGGCATTTGCCCAAACGTTGGCATATGCCACATTTATATTTAATATTTTCCAATATGTAACAGCCTGCAAAAAGTTTTGCAAAAGTTTTGGCACCCCTGGTCAAACGACACACTTTGTTGAAGTAAATAAGTTAACACATCCTCTACAGAGAACACACTTCTACACATGTTAATTACTCTTTATTTGCTGAATTTAACCTGTTTAACTTAGCAAATAAATTGATCTCATCTGCAGAAAAATGTTACATTTAGGTTTGTTCCCTCTAGAGGATGTGTAGTCTTGTAGCTGCAGCAATTTCTGGTTGGTAAAACGCCTGAAGCATCAAACAAACCTGCTGGTTCAAAAGAGCAGTGGTTGCGGTTTTATGGAGAGAGGAGTCACTGACACGCAATGACCTGCAGGTGAATCAGATTCTGGTTAATGAATCCAGCTGGCAAAGATCCCACTCTCATCTCATCTATCTCCTGAAACTCCACGTTTCTATGGATACTGTTAATTTACTGCTGAGGGCCAAAATGCACAAAAACAACATGTACCCACCCACCTCACCCGCGGAAAAACAAAAACAACCCCTGTTCGGAAACAGCACATGTCTAAAACCTGATCCGAGCACAGCCGTTACAGTGTGGCTATAGAAAAAAGGGGTTTACTTCTCGTATATCCGCTGGCCCCTCATGAAGACCTTGGCCTCGCTGTCCAGAGGAAAGGTTCCATCATCCTTCCTGAAACGGTAGAACAGCTTCATATCTTTGAACTCCTTGTGCTCGTCGCAAACTGTGAAAGACAAGAATATACATAGAGTAAATTCTGGCTGAGACTAATTGAAAAATCAATATGCAATCAATGCAGCACAGTAATACACACCCACCACTGGGAATACATACTGCAACCAGTATCACTCTGACTGTGTGTTTGCCTTCTTCTTCATAACTGACTAACATAGATTTATTAAGTCTATCTTTACCAGTAATAAGCAATAAAACAGTATAAGAACAGTTATGTGCAGTGAAGCTGCAACAGTTAGCCACCAAACCCTATTAGATATTGATCACAATTAAAGTAGAAAAGCATTGAAGCATCATTTACTTAAAAACAAACACGCTCTACAATGTTCATATGATCCACACAGTCATTCTAAAAGACTGTAATACACTACAGGAAGTGTAGGGGGCGATATGGCTTCTACTGTTTCATTTAAAAAGCTCTATAATGTTCATATGATCCACACAGTCACTCTGACAGACTGTAATACACTACAGGAAGCATAGGGGGCGATATGGCTTCTACTGTTTCATTTAAAAAGCTCTATAATGTTCATATGATCCACACAGTCACTCTGACAGACTGTAATACACTACAGGAAGTGTAGGGGGCGATATGGCTTCTACTGTTTCATTTAAAAAGCTCTATAATGTTCATATGATCCACACAGTCATTCTGACAGACTGTAATACACTACAGGAAGAGTAGGGGGCGATATGGCTTTTTGTGAATCTGTAGCAGAACCCACCATGGTGGATGATGCTATGGTCCAGCAGCTTCTGCATGATCTTGATGGCCGTCTCTCTATCAGAAGCCTCCTTGTGCTCTATCAGCCAATCAATGAGCTCCTTGGCCACAAAGCAGTTTGGGTAGGTGCGGAGATGATGCCGTCTGTCCTTTATGACTTTACCCTCATGGAGTCGCAACCTGCAATGCATAGAAAGCACAGTTATGCCTGGTGACAACAAAAGCATGCTGTAATTCTATACGAATTATTTTTGACACGTAGTTCAGTGAGACAAGTGGAGAGCTTGTGTGAAAAGTGCAGATTCTAAACTTTCAATCCATACTACATTCCTTTACTTCCCATAACTGTAACTGTAAACCATTGATTGCCACATGACCCCAAAGCATAACAGATCCAACCTCATGCTTAACAGTTTGCACGGTGTTCCTTTCATCAAATGCTGCTCCTTTTTTCTCCCAACATTTTTACTTCATCAGTCCACACATCATTTGTTTTGGTTGCCTACATGTTCTTTTACATACTTCAGATGTAGAATGTTGTGATGAGGTTGCAGGTAAGCTTTCGTTCTGTTGACTCTTCCTTCCATATCATGTTTGTATAACAATGCTGCAGGTTGTTTTAGTCTTGCAGGTACTTTGCTGTCATGTGGGGGTTTTGCTTTGCCTTTCTGGCCAGCATACGAGCAGTTATGTCCGAGTGCTTTCTTTATCGTCCAGAACTGGCTTTTCTTAATGACGTTTTGGACAGAAGTCAGAAGCACTTTGATATCTCTTTTAATAGCCTTCTTCTGTTTTGTAGACATCAGCTGGCTTCATTTTCAGATCCTCAGCCGCTGCTACCACAAGATTGAAACAGTCAGAGAATTGAATACACCTTGTAATTGTTGTCAACTGGCAATTATCCTCATATATTTTGTTTACTTCTAACAAAATATGTAATTTGGCTGGGGTTCCTAAACTTTTTCACACCGCTATATGTTAAAATGAGCATTTTAAGTTGAATGTGATAGAAATGGGTAAACTTATATATTTTAGACTCAAACTGTACATGAATAAATGTAAACCAGTTAGTAGTTGCTGCATAAAATAGACTAACTAGACACAAATTCCTCCTGGAAGAACACGATCTGGTACAAATCAATATTGGTTTTATATTTCTATGTATTAGTTATAATCTAATACTCTATATGAAATGTGAAACCATCTAGAGTAACCATAACAGTCCAAGACAAAAAGCATTCCTGAAACATTCCCCTACTGCTGCACTTGATCAGTTACATCTTTATGTAACTACTGTATGCCAGTTTCTGTGATAATGCATGTGTAGAACCAAAGCAGACCGGTATCTCAGACCTTCTGAAAGTGTGTCAGAAACAGTGCAGTCTGATGGAGGAAAAAAGAAGAACAAAGCTGAAGAAAGGCAAAATTCAGTAACAGGTAATGAGCACATGTCCCAGTAGAGTTTTAGTCTGCTGGACTGTCTGGAATGGGGCTTAATTTGTGCGGGAAGAGGCTGAATCTGAATCCAGCTCCTACTTTTGTGGATTTAAAGGACAGTCTGTAAAAATATTTCATGAAAAAAAATCACATATGAGACTCAAACCGTGTGGAGTTGTTAAAGCTACTATGTACATGTTGGGGATTTGGAGACCTCCCTGGTAGAAATGTGTCATGGCACGCAACGTGCGGAAGAACATGGTGTAGCGTGGGGTGTGCTTCGGCCAGAGAATTAGAGGAGAATTACACTCTGTAGTGTCTTCCGGGTTTCTCAATCACTAGAGGGCGCTCCTGAGTGAGTCCAAAATGAATGGGTTAAGATGGAGCATTTGAGCAAAAATAGTTTCCTAAATGCACAATTTTAACGTAAAATAATACATTTATTTTCTAAACACAGAACAGCATAAAACATTTTAACATCACTGTTATAGTTTTAAGAACTTCTGAACTCAAGTTATAGGAGTTTAAAACTGGCGCCTCATGTATGTTCTTAACGTCAATGAGCTGCTCCGCTCACCAACCAATCAGCACTCAGTAGCAGTAATGTTAAAGTCCTGCTGCCCAAAACCCGTTTACTGTAGAAAAAAGGAAACATACAGGTGAGTTTTCTTTGCTTTTATAGTGAAAAATAAACTTCTACTTTCTAAAATTAAAGCAGTTCTGGTTCAGTGATTAGAAACTATTTTAACTTTTTGTTTTTAGCCGTTTAGCTCCATTAACTCTTATTCATTGAGGACTCACTCGTGGGCGCCATCTGCTGTTTTGTAGCCCTGTTTTTGATATAACGGGGGAAATAGGAAGTGGCCAGGCTCCTCATAAACCGGCTCTGCTTCGGCCCCCTTCCCCGAGTGGATGAATCTAATGATTAAAAGGGAATTCAAAGAGAACTCAGTCAAAACTTGGTCTCCTGAGGATTTGAGTGAATTATCTACTATTGTCATCATATTTTCATCAGTATAATGTTGATTTTGAGATCATTTGAGATCTAAACATCAAGCCAGAGCTTCTTTTTGAGTGTGTGTGTGTGACGTTAATACGTAAAGACATACGATGTAGTGTGAAAAACTCCTGACCCGACGCCTCTGACTTTTAAATGATTATTTCAGGCTTTACGAGGCAATCTGCAGCACACACTCACCATATTTTCACCTGTTTTTACTCTCCTGACACTTTCAATTGCAACAAAACATCTTACACAGTGCTGCTTTAAGTAATCAATAGACATGAGACCAATAGACATGGTCTCTGGCACTGAGTGACAGACTGGTATTAGAGATACCGAACAACTCCACAGTTTGAGATGAGTGTGTGATGCTTACAGGTGCAGTTATCACCCTGCTAATTGGTGAGATATAAACTTTCATTACTAGTTAAATTAGCCTGGTAGCTCCAGCACAAAAACTACAGAAGCAAACTTCAGACACCAAACGTATCTGGGCTGGTTGATGACAATTAAGCCCATGCAATGAAAAACACCAAACAGCCATAAATTAAAACCACCTCCTCGTTTCTACGCTCACTGTCCATTTTATCAGCTTCTCTGACCATATAGGCTCATTTTGTAGTTCTACAGTTACAGACTGTAGTTCATCTGTTTCTCTGATACTTTGTTAGCCCCCTTTTACCCTGTTCTTCAGTGGTCAGGACCCCCATGGACCCTCACAGAGCAGGTACTATTTGGGTGGTCGATCATTCTCAGCACTGCAGTAACACTGACGTGGTGGTGGTGTGTTAGTGTGTGTTGTGCTGGTCTGAGTGGATCAGACACAGCAGTGCTGCTGGAGTTTTTAAACACCTCAGTGTCGCCGCTGGACTGAGAATATAATGAAAATATCCAGCCAACAGCGTCCTGTGGGCAGCATCCTGTGACCACTGATGAAGGACTAGAGGATGACCAACACAAACTGTGCAGCAGCAGATGAGCTATCGTCTCTGACTTTACGTCTACAAGGTGGACTGACATGGTAGGAGTGTCTAATAGAGTGGACAGTGAGTGGACACAGTGTTTAAAAACTCCAGCAGCACTGCTGTGTCTGATCCACTTGTACCAGCACAACACACACTAGTGTGTTGTAACTGTAGAACTACAGAGTGAAACTATATGGTCAGTGGAGCTGATAAAATGGACAATGAGTGTAGAAACAAGGACGTGGTTTTAAAGTTATGGCTGATAGGTGTATACGGTTTTTGTTGGAGAGGCTCAATTATTGAAAGGAAGGAAACTGGGTAAATTTGATTTTGGCCAAACTATCGCTTTAAGAAGCCCCGCCCAACACTGGTCAGGATATTTTGTGTTGTCTGGCGTCCTGCTCTCTGTTGATAACACAAAGTTGGCTCTTATGTGACTAAAGTAAACTAATCTGGTGTAACATGGGTCACTGAACTAAGTCTGTATATCTGAACTCAGGACTGTTTGAGGTCTTAACATGTTCTTTCCCACAAATAAACTCGTTGCACTGACTCCTCAGGTCAGCGTGGTCATTCTTACCCATGGCCCAATTACTGTGAATTGGATGACCATAATCTGACTTTCCTTTGAAAACCCTGTGCTAATAGATGTGAGCTCTACAGCTTCTGACACATCATCAAAGCTTCTTCACATCAGTCCTATTAAGATATGATCAGTGTCAGTAGAAGAGATTCAGCTTCAGATCCATAAAGAGATTAGCTTAGCTTTACTTATACAGTCCACATATGTTCAGCCATTACAGTACTGTACAAAAGCCAGAGACCAACCTTTCATTTAACTTCCAGTCAAATTCCTGTCCTTTAAGTACAAGTCATTTCATATTTAACAGAAAATGACACAGAAGCCTCAACAACTAATCTACTCTCAGCTGTTTGAGTGTTCAGTGAGTCACTCTTTTTCTTTATTCCAGCTTCCATTCTTTTCAGGAGACTCACTTTCAGTTCCTCAAAGAATCTGCAGACACACCTCCAAAGTTCAGTCTTAGAAGCTGGTTGATCATTTTCTGAAGTAATCAAACACGTTCAGTGGTGTTGAGGTCTGGACTCTGGGGTGGTCAGTCCATTGTTCAGCTTCTTTGTTTGATGTGTCCGTCTCCTTTTCTCAGTGAGGTTCTTCTTGACAGCTACACATCCTTTCAGACCCACAGCGCTGAGTCGTCTTCTCACAGTGGAAGGATGGACAGAAACACCTGTGGATGTTTTCAGATCTGAAGCAGCTTGATTTTCTCCTCTCTCTCAGAGATGAAAGCTTTAAGTGCTGTTTATCTGATGGGGGCAGTGTTGGGGTCGACCAGGTCTTCCAGGTAGTTGTTAGGGGCCACGTTTTCTCTGTAGCTTTTAATTAGTTTCTTAACTCCAGTTGACTTTCTCCTTCCTAAAACAAGTGGATCATCTTATATCTAATCTCCTGCAAAATTAATAGCTTGTACAGGGAGATTCACTCGAAAGAGGCCCTAAATATTCTGTAATAACTCTCTCTGGGGCGAAGCAATCTGAACAAAAAACATGCAGTGTGCTCCTCAGTATATGGAGCTTCAAACAAGCTGGGATGCCCCTGTGGCGGCAGCTGTTGCGACGTTTAACTTCTCTAATGCTTGCCGATACGTTCAGGAACATGGAGCGCCACGTCGAAATGTGTCTGGCAGAAAACAGATATTCACTTCCAGCATCGCTTGTAATGCAATCGATTACACATACGTCAAGGTATGTAGTGTATTTTTTTGGTTCAGATTTCTTCATCCTAATGGGAGTTACACCAGAATATTCGGGGCCTCTTTCGAGTGAATCTCCCTGTATTTTATGGCTGTTTTGACTGGAAATGAAATAAATCAAGGGTCTTATTTTTGGTTTTCCCTGCATATTTCAGGGAGGGTTGGTTAGTTGGTTGGTTAGTTAGTTTAACGCACTGTTACAACTAAGACCCCAAAAGTAAACAATCAGAGAACTCTGTATCCCCCATATACATACAAAACCATTTAGTTTGAATGCAGTGATAAAATAATATTAAGATAAAATATTGAGGCAGATAAACTTTCAAGAAATAATAAACTATTTATAATTTAGTAAGTTCTCGCTGTTAGAAAAAAATAAAATACTAAATAAAACCTCTCAAAGCTGCACTATGTGCAGAAAAAGCTGTACTATTTTTTGTTAAACTGAAAGAAGTATCATTAGTGAGTGAGGAGAATAAAAACAGGGTAAAATATGGTGAGTGTGCACTGCTGTGAGTCGCCCTGTAACGCCTGAAATAATCATTTAAAAGTCAGAGATGTCGAGTCAGGAGTTTTTCACTCCACAGTGTACATTTTTACGCATTAACGACGATTCCAAAAGAAGGTCCGCCTCGATGTGTAGGTCTCAAATGATCTCACAATCAACATCATACTGATGAAGACGTGATGGCAATAGTATATAATTCACTCACTTCCTCAGAGACGCATCCTTCACCAAGTTTAGACGGAGATCTCTTTGATTCTCTTTCAATCCTTAGATTCATCTGCTTGGGGAAGGGGAGGGGAGCACAACCCACATAACAAACATTGCATGCAGTTACACATTTCCACCAGAGATGTCCCCAAATCCCCAAAATGTACATAGTGCAGCTTTAAAAAATATCCAGCTTATAGTATTTCAGTCTACACTGTATATGTTATTATTGAATAAAATTAAAATAAAATGAAATTGAACAGCAATTACTGATTCCAAACCTTTGAACCACAATGTAAATCAATGGAACTGAGCTAATTACATGCTTTCCATCAGAAACTACAACTCCCTACTATAAAAATGATGTCTTATTTCCTGTTTCTTGCAGTTACCACTCGTGCACTTTGGACAAAACAACAATACCAGCAGATCTCACAGCAGCTGGAGCTTTAACAGGAAGTTTCAAAAGTTTCTGCATAATTTCAGTGTGTGTGATGTAAACAGTGATTCAGAGTGGTTTGGTGTGAAATGGTTCAGATGTCTTTACAGTGGTGGTGATAGGAACCAGGGGTCGCCATGACTACAACACAAATATAGACATTTTATTTACTATCCAGAACCACCAGTGAACCTACACGAGTCTTCTGAGTTTATATGGAATGTTGATGATGGAAAATAGTGGAAAATCTGAAATAATAAGTTTTCTTTGGGGACTATTTTGCCTCACAGCGCCCTGCATATTATGTATCCCTCCACCATGAATGGAGTTTAAGTTCTCTAAACTATCATAAAACAGTGTCTCAGTCATCAGGCAGTGAATTCATAACCATTTCATGTAGGAACTTTCTGTGAGGGAGCTTTTAGAGGTGGACGTCTGGTTCCTATCACCACTACTGTGAATAATTCTGACTACACACTTAAAAAAGACGGTTCTTTAAGGGGTCTTTAGTAAAGAAAATTGTTCTATATAGAACCATGAACACTCAAAGAATCCTCTGCATGATGAAATGATTCTCTGCATGGTGAAATCGTTCTTCAGATTGATGGAGAATGTGCTGTATATGGTTATATAGAATCTTTTTGAAAAGGGCACCAAAAATGTTCTTCTACTGTTACAATTTCAAGTTTATAACAATAGAAGACGCATTTTTGGTGCTACATAGAACAATGTGCAACACATTCTCCATCAATCTGAAGAACTATTTCACCATGCAAAGAACCATTTAATCATGCAGTGTCCTTTGAGTGTTCACGGTTCTATATAGAACCATTTTCTCTACTAAAGAACCCTTAAAGAACCATCTTTTTTAAGTGTGTAGAACAGAGCATTTCACACCAAACCACTCTGAATGACTTTGTTCACATCTCAACCACTTAATTATGTAGAAATTTGGGAAAATCTGTGAAATTCCCCTTTAAATTCCATGTTTCAGTCCCATCAGTTATGACAGTATGACTTCCTCTGCTTTTCTTATTTATATCTCTTCCTCCTGAGGCTGAGTCAAACTCTGTAAGTGCTCCAAACACATCTGTAATAATGGGAACTGGGGGTATTAAAGTGTTAAGGTCGGTGTTGTGGAAACTTGAGGACGAGGATGTTTTGTCCTTCGGGATTCCTCTGACTGTTTGCTGGCATTAATGGATCATCTTCAGGAATCTAACCTAAAGCCAAGATTATGTGCACATTTGCTAATGATACACAAACATTAAGAATGTTGCACACTGGAGCGCTAAAGCCCCTGCAAATCCACAAGCTTTGCTGCACAGTATGCGCGAGTCCGTAATCATTAAGCCAGCATGCTGGGTCACCTGAGCAGCTGACAGGTGCGTGGCCACAAAACGATTCACACTACTGAACTCCTGAGATGCCAACCAGCAATAAAGCCCATTCTGAGTTATCTTTAGAGCTCTATGTCTTTATAGCTCAAGGCTGTGTCCTCCTCTGAAACAGAAAGCACCCAATCATGTTGTGTGTTAAGACTGTAAACTGTAAGTGTCTGCAGGGGATCACCACCCAACTCCTCTCTCTCAAAATTCATAGTATTTTATAAATAATTCATGATAGTTACTAAATAATTCACAGGAGTTTCTGAACAATTCATAGTGGTCAATGTGTAATTCATATCAGATATGGAATTAACTGTAGTTACTGAATATTTCATAGTACATACAAAATAATTCATAGTAGTTGCTGAATAATTCATAGTAGATACTGAATAATTCATAGTAGATACAGAATAATTTATAGTAGTTCCTGAATAATTCATAGTAGATACAGAATAATTAATAGTAGATACAGAATAACTCAGTAGTTGCTGAATAATTCATAGTAGATACTAAATAATTCATAGCAGATGCTGAATAATTCATAGTAATTACTGAATAATTCATAGGAGATACTTAATAATTCATAGTAGTTACTGAATATTTCATAGAAGATAGTGAATAATTTACAGTAGACAGTAAAGAATTCATACTAATTACTGAATAATTCATGGTAGATACTGAATAATTAATAGTAGATACTGAATAATTCATAGTAGTTACTGAATAATTCATAGTAGATACTGAATAATTCTTAGTAGATACTGAATAATTCATAGTAGTTACTAAATAATTCATAGTAGATACTGAATAATTCTTAGTAGATACTGAATAATTCATAGTAGATACTGAATAATTTTCATAATAGCCACAGAATAATCAGCCGGTTTGCTTCTTTAGTTTTTCCCTCGAGATACGAGGCTAATGTAGCTAACAGGTAATAGCAGCATATGTCGCACCAATTAGTGGAAGCAAAGCATAACTATTAGAGCTGGGGCTTCATTTCAGACAACAAATGTCAAAACCCAAAAAGTCAAAAAACTCTAAAAGAAAAAAGGCACCTCTATGATAATGCTAATTTGTTAGCGTCCATATGAGGTTCCTAATAGTATATTAGCACTAAGCTAATGCTGGTGCACATGAACATTTCTTGGCTGTTCTAAATTAAACATGGACATTTGAAGCTTGTCAAAGTTATTCCATACATTTTATCCAAAGCTTGTAACAGATATTAATATATATCTGAGCTTGTATGAATTAGTTTTACAGTGACTCTTCCAGCTGCATTGAGCTGCCGCAGCTGTTTTCTGTTCCTAACAACTAACTGGAACCTGCTTAGACTACGGGTTATATTCACAGTCAGTTATCTAGAACTTCCAAAAGAAGTGAAATTGGTCCCAGTGTAAATCAAAGTGTAATTGGTTGATTCCCCTGTTGCTCCCTAATTATGTTGGTAGTTAATTTAATGTGTAAGGCCTTCAGTCCAGCTCCTAAAGTCCTAACCAATGGGAGACCAGCTTGGCTCTATCTGCCTAGATACCACAAAGAACACAATCCAAAACGTAGCAAAGAAGTAAGAATATTACTGCAATTACTGCAGAGTTTAAAGGTCATATATGACATTTTAAACATTAATATAGCAGCAATCAACTGTTTTCTATGTAAAGACATAGTGGAGTAACCGTGTCCTGAGCAGAGAATGAAGCCACGCCCCCTCTGTGTGTGTGTAATCTGAGCTTCTCTGTTTTTTGTTTTCATAGGCAAGACGGCCGCACGTGTATGTTAGTCCCACCCTGTGAAAATGTCGCCCTTCCCACATTTTGTTTTGCCCTCCCCAGACAGTGACCACCCACACAGCACAGTGCATTCACCATTTAAGGTGGAACAGGAAAAGAAGCTGAGGTGCCTAAATGTAGTCTTAACTGCTGCACCCTTTAAGGTGGAACGGGAACATTTGAACAAGAAGCTGAGATGCCTGAATGTAGTTTTAACTGCTGCACCATTTAAGGAGGAACTGGAAAATTCTAACAAGAAGCTGAGGCACTGAATGTAGTCTTAACTGCTGCACCTTTTAAGGTGGAACGGGAAAAGTTGAACAAGAAGCTGAGGCGCCTGAATGTAGTCTTAACTGCTGCACCAAACAAGATACTGGTGTTCAGCTTCATTGAGAGTTGAAATGCCTGAAAAGGGATGAGGAGGTCGCTCCTGCTGGACAGGTGGACAACATTAACTCCTTTTTGCTGTTTCACAGAAGCAATAGGTCAGTATTGTGTGGTCCTGTTTGCGAATGCTTGTGATAGCGACTGGTTATATTTTCAGCAGCAACTGTAGCAACAGTTTGCTAACCCACAGCCAAGCTAACGTTGGCTACATTACTTGTGGTGTTGTTGTTCACTCTAACGTTATATCACGGTATTTGTCTGTACAGCGTTTGCGAAGGGTTAAAAAGATGTAAAAAAGCATGTCCATGAATTTTGGGGGCGGAGCTTCTGAAGGAGCACTGAAGGGAGGGCTGTACTTGTTTGCTGTTGAGTTCAAATATCAAGTCTTTCTCCAGAATCGTACAGTGCCTCTTTAAATCCAACAAGCATAGTGATTCTACTAAACAACAATGAGCCAAACATTACAGTTATGTTTTTTTTTTAGTTCCTAGAAATCATTAGGCCTAATCTGAAGTCCCAGAAGGCCATTAGCAGTGGCCAAGCCGCATGTCCTCTTGCCTCAAACTGAGTCGAGCTGTTAAGTAATCTTTATTTGCCTTGATCATGTGATTTCTGACACTGTATGACAAACTCTTACCTATGCACATGGATAAAAGTACGCTGCCTAGCTAAAACCAGCAGTGGCATTTATTTTGAAGGCCAAATTGTGCGTTCATTTTTATAAATAACCGGCTGCCTCAAAGTCTCAGAAACAACTACATGAGGTTTATTGTGCGTAAATAAGAAATTCCCTCTGCCTGGTGTGAAGGCCCTCAGCATGTGCCTGAAATCAGGCCGCTGTTAAAATGCACACGGATTGTGCAAGAGCTCTTTTTTTTGGTTGCTGGAACCTGTATGGGAGCTTGCAGGCCTTTTGTTTAGCATTGGCTCATTGCAGGATCTTCTCCAGCCACTCCTACCTCAGCTGCTCTCCAGTAACCAGAACCTCGGCCATTCGCTCCAGTTCAGCTGCCTTCTTCTGCATGCTGTTCCCAACACCATCCATCTGCCAAGCCAAATAAGCAGCGCAGAGTGAAAATAAAGCAGTTTTTACCAAAGATATAAAGCAGTTGACTCTATATTTGAGCAAACTGGAATGGAGTTATAGCATATTGCCTTCACAAAGTGCTAAAAGCTGCATATTCTCCAGCTTCTGATTGGAACTCTCTGTTCCACCTTAAATGGTGCAGCAGTTCCATTCTGGCGCATCAGCCTCTGGCGCACCATTTAAGGTGGAACGGAGAGTTCCAAACAGAAGACAACTTAGAAGCTTCAAAGCAACTGAGTGGTATTGTTTAGCATTTTCGGCGTTGAGTGCATGCTGAGCACAGAAAATTAACCCATTAATAACCTTTCCAATGACACTGACTCATCTGTAGCTCAGTTGGTCATTTATTGGTCATTTTCTCAATGAATGCAATGCGTTACCTCGTCGATCTGAATCCCCAACGCTCTTATGTCACTCACTGGCTATTAAATCCCATTGACAGGCGTGAACTTGTGCCTGCTGTGCTCCATAAAGAAAGCAGATCCGCCTCTTCCAACCACAGAACATCCACTTATGGGTCCAAATGCAGGAGCGTCTCCTAAAAACAGGATCTGCAGATGAAGCTCTAAATGAATGGAGTCACCCAGCGTCCAGGGCGCCCCACTGACCGCGGATTGTTTACTATCTTGCTCCGAAAGCACGTTTTTGCCCCTGAGCAGGGCGAGCTGCACCGACCGCCCTCATTGGGGGGAGTTCACCAGAGGGGGCGGGGCTTAACGTTCAGATCCACGAGTGCTTTACTGAACTGGCAGAAAACAGGGACTGAAAACGAACAATTAAAAAAGAAAGGGGGAAAAAACAGTGGAAATGATGTAAATGTTATACAGAACATTTTCTAATAATTATGAGAAAGTAAGTCATAATTATGAGATACCAAGGCAAAAAATATGTGATGCTATGTAATTATTATGAAATTCTAAGTTAGAATTGTGACATACAAAGTCATAATTATAAGATACCAAGTGACAATTATGAGAAAGTAAGTCATAATTATGGGATACTAAGTCATAATTATGATCTCATAATAATATGTTAGAAGAGAGTCGCTCATAATCATGAATTAATATATCATAATTACTTAATATCTCATAATTATAAGATACTAAGTCATAATGATAAGAAAGTAAGTCACATTCATGAGATAATAAGTCATAATTATGAGAAAGTAAGCCATAGTTATGAGACACCAAGGGAAAATTGTGAGATGCTATGTAATTATTATGAAATACTAAGTTATAATTATGAGATACTAAGTCATAATTATGAGAAAGCAAGACACTCTAATGAGATACTAAGTCATAATTATGACTAAGTGATGCTAAGTCGTAACTATGAGATATTAAGAGATTATGAGACCCTAAGTCATAACTATGAGATATCAAGACATTATGAGACACTAAGTCATAATTATGAGATGCTAAGTCATGAGATATTAAGACATTATGATGAGACTCTAAGTCATAATTATGAGATGCTAAGTCAAAATTATGTAATGCTAAGTCATAATTATGGAACACTTTCTTATAAGTATGGCTTACTAAAAGGCTATATTTTTTCCAGTGATGGAAACTGGTTTCCATAAGATGTTAAATTATGAATGTGTGCATTATGTATGTTTAGACAATGCTGAAACTGTTTGTTTATGTTAACTTGTTATATAATAGGTTTGCAGTCTTGTAGACCAGAATAAGAGGTCTTGTAAAGTGAGAATGGCTGAGACTTAAAGGGGAATTGTTCAAAATTGTTGTATAATTAAATGATTAAGATGTAAACAGAGTCGTTCAGAGCGGTTTGGTGTGAAACGCTCCGTTCTAGAGAAACTTACAGAGTCAGAACTGTTCACAGTGGTGGTGATAGGAACCAGACGTCCACCTCTAAAAGCTCCTCACAGAAAGTTCCTACATGAAATGGTTATGAATTCACTGCCTGATGACTGAGACACTGTTTTATGATAGTTTTGTGACAAAGTTTTGGCCTGAAACATATTGTAATCAATTTATTTTAATCTATTCATGGTGGAGGGATACATGCAGGGTGTTGTGAGGCAAAACTTAAAAAAATATTTCTTTCAGATTTTCCACTATTTTCCATCATCAACATTCCATATAAACTCAGAAGACTCGTGTAGGTTCACTGGTGGTTCTGGATAGTAAATAAAATGTCTATATTTGTGTTGTAGTCATGGCGACCCCTGGTTCCTATCACCACCACTGTAAAGACATCAGTTCATTCATTAAGATTCTCTAAAACGGAGCGTTTCACACCAAACCACTCTGGATGACTTTGTTTATATCTTTTTCCCCTTTAAGTGAGAACACAAACACTCTAATGTCCCTATTCATAACACTAGCGACAAAAAAAAAAACAATGAAAACAGTGACATCTAGTGGATGACTGATATAAACACATATCCATTCAGTCAAGCCGTGAAGGACTGGGTTCATCCTTGGCACAGCTCACTTGAAAGCCACACTAAACAAGCAAGGAAGTAGTATATACTGTTACAGTATGAAAATAGCTGAGGATAACTTGTCAAATAAGAGACCTGTGGAATGAGCAGTTTGTAGAAAGAGAACAATTGAGACTTAAACAGGCCAAATTTTTTCTTACTTTCTTACTCGTAATAAAATATTCTTGTATCATCACTGTTCTTATAGGAGAAGGGGAAAACATATTTGTAGTGGAAATTAATGTAACGAGATTTTTAGAAACAATATAATGATGTATGCAGTTATATTGAAATATAAAATATTTTAATTTTAAAAACTACTTAATTCTTAATAATAAATGCTGAAATTATAGCCTGGAAGTATTTGTTTTGAAAATAATTTCTTTGAAATATTTCCTTGACTATTTCCCAGTGTTCACAAATTCACATGCAATAACTCAATAGTCATATTTTCAAAATAATGTATTTAGGTTTCTAATTTCAATCCAATTGGAAATTTTAAGCTTGCAAAATTCACTTCTAAAAATATGAACAACAGCAATCTGGATGTGAAATTTAAAAATGTTGAAATCAAACATATATACAGAGCGATTTTCAAAATAAATATTTTTTAATCTTATAATTATAATGGTATTCAAAGCTTATTATTAAGAATTAAATTGGCAGTTTAATAACAATAGTTCAGTTTAACAGAATTCAATAATTGAACTCTTATTTTGAAAAATAAATGTAAATATTTATTTATTTCGCACATGGGAAACAGCGACATCTAGCGGATAACTGGTGTATAGCGCCTAATTCGCTCATAGGCCGGCGCGACCGTCAGTCAAACGTGTTTTTCCGGTGAATATTTTGCGGGAAAGTTGAGCGCCGGCCCCTCACAACAAAGCTCAGAGGCACATCTTACATCTCCCACCGTTCTAGCTCGATTAATCGGACGGCAGAGGCAGAAATAAAAGCATGAGGACGCTGGACGAGGTTCAGGCTACTCTGCAGATCGCCAAGCTGAAGGAGGAGGACCTGCAGGCCGTGACTCACTGCCTGTCTTTCGGAGAAAGCGCGTCGTCCGGCGATTACAGCCTCATGGAGCTGGACGACACGCTCTGCAGACACATCGAGGCTGGAAAGAGGTGACAAACGTCCTTTTCCTTCTTTCAAAGTGACACGAGAAGCCCAGCTCGGGGTTTAACTCTCCTATTCCTGCTGGAAACAATCATAGAAACCATTAAAAAGTTCTGCTGGTTCCTGCTGGTGTCCAGTGGTCACTGAAGGTGTGCTGCGTTGTCCTGATGGGTTGATACCTCAGTGTAAAGGACTCTAATGGTTTAACAGGTGTTCTGAGACTGGATCCAGATGCATTTGATGGTTTCCTAATGAGATCTAAAGGTGCCCTGCAGGAAACTAGTGGTCTCTAATGGGAACCAGTAAACCAATTCAGATTAGAAATTAAATCCATCAGGTTTTAATCCTAATGGTTCTAATGGTCTTTCTCAGCAGGGATGAGCTGCATGCTAGTAAAACAACATTGTTTTATAAACCTAATGTTAACCACAAAAACACGAGATCAGAGCGGATAATGTTTATGCAGAGGTGACATCTATTAATTTCTAATAAGGCGTGGCCACCAGTTAATATATTGGGGCCACATAATGCATCGATGCCACAGATTACTATACCAAGGCCGCAGTTTCATGTATTGAGGCCACAATCTATTATATTGAAGTCACTAAATACAATATTAAGGCCACAATAACTATATTGAGGCCACAAATTAATATATTGAGGCCATGAGTTAGTGTATTAAGGCCACTAATTACAATAGTAAGGCCACAATTTACTATACTGAGTTCTCTATTTATTATATCGAGGCCACAAAGTAATATAATGAGGCCACAGTTTATTGTATTGAGGCCAAAATGTACAGTATTGAGATCAATAATTACTATAATGAGGCCACACATTACTATCGAGGCCACTAGCCACAATATTTAGGCCACAAATTATTATCCTGACCCCTTGAGTTACTGTATTGAGGCTACAATTTGCTATACTGAGGCTGCAATTTATTATATTGTGGCGACAAAATAATATAACTACTAATTATTATGTTGAGGCCACAGATTACTGTATTGAGGCCACAATTTACTATATCAAGTCCACTAGTTACAATATTGAGGCACAAAAAGTCCATCACAGGGTTTAACTCTCCTATTCCTACTGGAAATAATCACAGAAACCATTAAAAGGTTCTGCTGGTTCCTGCTGGTGTCCAGTGGTCACTGATGGTGTTCTGTGTTTTCCTGATGGGTTGATACCTCAGTGTAAAGGACTCTAATGGTTTAACAGGTATTCTGAGACTAGTTTCAGATGCATTTAATGGTTTCCTAATGAGATCTAAAAGTGCACACACTAACGGTAAACACTAAGCCAATTCTCATTAAAAAGCTTAACCATCAGGTTTTAATCCTAATGGTTCTAATGGTCTTTTTCAGCAGGGATGAGCTTTTATGCAGATAATGTTTATACGGAGCAGCTGAGCTGACAAGGGGGTCATTTTTTGATAAAGTGTGGCCACGAGTTAATATATTAAAGCCACAAATTACTATACTGAGGCCACAATTTACTATATCGAGGCCACTAGCTACAATATTTAGGCCACAAATGAATATATTGGGGCTACCAATTACTGTACAGAGGCCTTGAGTTACTATTTTGAGGCCACAATTTACTATATCAAGGCCACTACCTACAATATTTAGGCCACAAGTTGCTATACTGAGTCCACAGTTTATTATATTGAGACCACAAAGTATTATTATCAGGCCACAATATATGTATTGAGGCCAAAATATACAGTATTGAGATCACTCATTTATAATGAGGCCACAAATTACCATACTGAGGCCACACATTACTATATCGAGGCCACTAGCTACAATAATTAGGCCACAAATTTATATATTGAGGCTGCAATTTATTACATTGAGGTGACAAAGTAATATAACCACAATTTACTGTATTGAGGCCACAGTTTATTATATCAAGGCCAATATTACAATATTAAAGCCACAGATAAATATGTTGAGGCCACAGATTACTGTATTGAGGCCACAGATTACTGTATTGAAGCCACAATTTACTATTTTGAGCCCATAGTTTAGTATATTGAGGCCACAAATTACTATACTGATGCCTCGATTTACAATATTGAGGCCACAATTTATTATATTAAGTCCACTAGCTACAGTATTGAGGCCACAGATTACTGTATTGAAGCCACAATTTACTATTTTAAGCCCATAGTTTATTATACTGAGGCCACCGACTACTATATTGAGGCCATGAGTTATGAGAAACCTAACTAGTGGCCTTAATATATTCATTCATGGCCAGGCCATAATAAGTCACCGTTGGGCTCTGTAGGTCTGTACAGACAGGCTGCTGTACCTCCTCACTGCTCTGTATACTTCTGAATACTGAATTTCTCAGCTGAAACCATTTAAGGTGGAATGTGAAGTTTGATTTGAGCTTCATGATCACATCGTAGTTACAGCCTGACGAGGACTCATTATTTCTTATGTGTTCCTCATCAGTCTTATAATCCGAGGAGACAAAGATGAGCACGCAGTTCTGTGCAGCGAAGACAAAACGTACGACCTGAAAATGGCGGACACGTCCAATCTGCTGCTGTTTGTGCCAGGATGCAAAACCCCAGATCAGCTCAGTGACCACCCAACGCATCCTCAGCTGGTCCACGCGCAGGTAGGGCTGAGAGTGAAAACGCTTTGTTGTATGTTGTGATGTCACACCTGTTTCATCTGGATAGTGGACCATAGCTTAATATACACCGATCAGGCGTAACACTGTGACCACCTCCTTGTTTCACTTTTGGAGCGATTCTGAAATCAAATACATGCTTGACGAAATGAAGGATTGAAATATTTTTCATCTTCAAATCAAATCAAATCAAATCAAATCAGATTTATTGTCACATCACAAGAGTACAGGGACACAGGTGAGTGAAAAACTTGAGTGCGAGTTCCACAAATTATGCAGAGAACAGTATTTACACATAGATAAACAAAACTATAGATAGGATAGAAGAATAGATAAAACCAATTTAACTAAAATATATACATATAATCTTACACAATAACTTAAAAATAATAATATTGCACCGAGACATATAATATTGCACTGGGAATGTAGAGTGAGTGTAATCAACTATATACTATATATAGTAATGGATATTACAATGCTATGTAGATGTGCAAATAATCACGCTAGGTGTGGAGGTAGAAGATGGTACCGTAGGTGGCAGAGTATTTAGTAAAGTGCAAGGTACAGGAAGTTAAGTGGAAGCGCAGGGGGAGAGTATTGTCTTTGGATAGGATCTAGATGATGTTTGTTCATATTTTCAGGTAAAGCGGCGCGATGTTTTAAAAAAAGCCACAGCATGAAGTTTGAGTTTTACGTCGCGTTTACGTCGCGTCTTCTACTGTGAGTTTTTTGGCTGGTTGTAAAGCAGGAATCCGATTACTGTCTGACTCTTGTAGACCTGGAGTTTTCCCATTATCTGATTACTCATATGTGCATATAAACGTGTTGATCGGATTACTGCCAATTTTTTTTTTTTGCAGTTATCGGATTATTAAGTGCATGTAAACGCAATCACTGAGTAAATCTGTGACCGTCTCTCGCTGCAGGACTTGTGAACGTTTTGAGTCTAAATATCAAACGTTTGATAATATCTGAGGGCCACAAATTAATATTTTGAGACCATGAATTATCATATTGAGGCTTCGAGTTACTATGCTGAGGCCACAAGTTACTATATTGAGGCCTTGAGTTACTATATTGAGGCCACGATTTACTGTACTGAGGCCTTTTTTTAATATATTGAGGCCACAAATTAATATTTTGAGACCATGAATTATCATATTGAGGCCTCGAGCTGCTATGCTGAGGCCACAAGTTACTATATTGAGGCCTTGAGTTACTATATTGAGGCCACAATTTACTGTACTGAGGCCTTTTTTTAATATATTGAGGCCACAAATTAATATTTTGAGACCATGAATTATCATATTGAGGCCTCGAGCTGCTATACTGGGGCCACAATTCTATACTGAGGCCACAAATTAATAAATTGAGGCTACTATTTACTATTTACACTATTTAGGCAAGAAATTTACTGCATTGAAGCCATTTGGGCCCTTCAATACTGAAATCAGTTAAAAGTGCATGTACACAAGCAGGTGGTCAGTCACCATGCAGAGACAGTCTCTGTTCAGTTCCTGCTGTGCTGACCTGTCTGTAATAACGGCTGTGCGTCGTCAGATTTGGGGCTATGCTAGCAGTTACTGGGAGCTGAGACGCCAGCGGCCGAAGTTAAAGAAACTGAAGAAGCTCCTCATGGAGAGTCCATACAGTGGTCCACCAGTCGGCACAGAGGAAGAGGCTCCTGAGAACAAGGTACAGCTCCAAAACCACAAGCTGCTCTCAGAAACCTGTCTGTGTTCATCAGGTTAGACGTGGTTGATATGGTTCAGTCTGAATTGGGGGTCGGCAATAAGACGATATTTTATTGTCATCATGATAAATTATGTCACGATACACTTTCGTGAGCATATCATGGATATCGTCAGTTTTTAGAAACACCTCCCAGCTACACGTTTCATTACAAAGTGAGCATATTTAGTCCTCTTTAACTGGATTTAGTGCAGTGTAGCTGGAGAAACATTGATTAAAATCATTGTAGTTTGAGTTCTGTTATAGTATCTTCAGTAGTATTTGTAGTATTTGGCACTGCAGGTTCTATTTTGTCTGTTCCAACTTATTAAATCTCAGAGGAACTAAATATTGTGACGCATGTTGTGTATCGTAAAAATGTCTGGCGGTATTGTGATATTATTGTGATAACGTATTCTTGCCTAAGTTTGAATGCTGCTGTTTTCCAGTATACGATGGAGGACTTTCTCAAGCAAATCCAAGCAAGCCGAGAGGAAATTGAAGCCCACCTTCAGAAAATTCATGCATGTGAAATTGATGGTAGGTTAAGACGGGAAGATCTCTGAAGAAGATTTGTATATAATATTGCAAGCAGCAATCATAGGGGTCCAAGCACTTTATGCCTTATGGAGCCAGTATAGACCTAGTACCTAAAAGAACGCACGTGATGGGTGGGTTTTAGAACGGCCTTTTTTATAATTGTTGAAGAGGGGTCTCTGAATTTGGTACACATTGACCTTTTGACCTTGTATGTGTATGGTAGGGAATAGGTTTGTAAGAAATAAGTCAAAATACCTGGAAAATTATACGTTTTGACGTGTATTTGGACTGTATTTTAGTCTCAGAATGCTCAAGAATTTTCACTTTATTGTATTCTAGGAGCGAAGCCACTGGACCCCCTACAGGGGTTTGCTTTCTAAAATTGTCTAAACCTGTTTCACTGCTTGTGAGTTTTCATGTTTAATGGATAATTAGCCAAATTAGGCATTCTATAGTGGAATTAAATGATTCCACTATAAAATTAGTGATGCAACTATCAGTGTTGGCGTTATCGTCAGGGGACTGCGAGTTTGATCCCCTGGTGATGCTGCACCCATCCGTGGCCAGAGTCCAAGAGTGCACAGTTGTCTATGAGAGGCCAAATAGGCCAAAATTCTAACTTCTCACACTCACCATCAAACTCTCTCACACTCACCATCAAACTCTCTCACACTCACCATCAAACTCTCTCACACTCGCTGTCGAACTCTCTCACACTCACCATCAAACTCTCTCACACTCGATATCAAACTCTCTCACACTCACTATCAAACCCTCTCACACTCACCATCAAACTCTCTCACACTCGATATCAAACTCTCTCACACTCACTATCAAACCCTCTCACACTCACCATCAAACTCTCTCACACTCGATATCAAACTCTCTCACTCTCGCCGTCAAACTCTCTCGCACTCACCATCAAACTCTCTCACACTCACCATCAAACTCTCTCACACTCACCATCAAACTCTCTCACTCTCGCTTTCAAACTCTCTCGCACTCGCTTTCAAACTCTCTCGCACTCGCTTTCAAACTCTCTCGCACTCGCTTTCAAACTCTCTCACTCTCGCTGTCAAACTCTCTCGCACTCGCTGTCAAACTCTCTCGCACTCGCTTTCAAACTCTCGCACTCGCTATCAAACTCTCTCGCACTCGCTTTCAAACTCTCTTGCACTCGCTTTCAAACTCTCTCGCACTCGCTTTCAAACTCTCGCACTCGCTATCAAACTCTCTCGCACTCGCTGTCAAACTCTCGCACTCGCTTTCAAACTCTCTTGCACTCGCTTTCAAACTCTCTCGCTGTCAAACTCTCGCACTCGCTTTCAAACTCTCACTCTCGCTGTCAAACTCTCTTGCACTCGCTATCAAACTCTCTCGCACTCGCTTTCAAACTCTCTCACTCTCGCTGTCAAACTCTCACACTCGCTATCAAACTCTCTCACTCTCACTTTCAAACTCTCACTCTCGCTGTCAAACTCTCTCACACTCGCTTTCAAACTCTCTCGCACTCGCTTTCAAACTCTCTCACACTCGCTCTCAAACTCTCTCGCACTCGCTTTCAAACTCTCTCGCACTCGCTTTCAAACTCTCTCACTCTCGCTGTCAAACTCTCTCGCACTCGCTTTCAAACTCTCTCACTCTCGCTGTCAAACTCTCTCGCACTCGCTTTCAAACTCTCTCGCACTCGCTGTCAAACTCTCTCGCACTCGCTGTCAAACTCTCTCACACTCGCTATCAAACATCCAAAATCCTCTTGCTTCTGTCTGTCTGGCTGCTCAGCATTGTGTCTTATTGATGAGGACACTGGAGTTGAAGGCCGTTACCATCAAAATGAGAGGTGCAGGATTTTTATGTGAAATGTGTGGAACTGTTTTCAGCTTTCAAATGTGTTGCGGCTTCTAGTATCCATTCATTCGTAGTGCTGTGCTCTGTTGAGTTCAGTGTTCTAGAGCCGGGAGCTGCTCTGTTGGGCTGACTGTCCTCATTTAGAGTTTTTCAGTCAGCGTCTTTGTCGTGTTTTTCAGGATACTGGCGGATTCTGGATTTTGATTACGAGCTGAAGCTGCTGGGTCACGTGACTCAGCTGGTGGATTCAGAGTCGTGGTCCTTCAGCAGAGTTCCTCTGAGAACGTGTCTGGAAGAGCTCGGGCCGCTTGAGCCCACGTGAGTGATGAGCATGTACAGTCTGTAATCAATCTGTCTTCAGGTCATCAGGTCAACACTGTCAGCACTGTTTCATATTCGATTAGATTAATACATTTTAGAACTTAAATTATGTTTAAGAATTCATGTTTACTCTCTTGTGTCTTTTACAGAGCAATGATTGAACACTGCCTCAACTGTTACGGAAGACGATATAACACAGAGGGTCAGTATATTCATTTCATTGCACACTTGGTTTCAGTTTCAACCATTTGTTTAGAAAGTAATTTAAATATTTTCATTTTTGGTTGGACAGTTTACTTATATATAATTACAGCTAATAACCTGGAGCCTTATTTGTTTTTTGTGGTGCTTTAGCACTGCAGAGTAAAAGTGATTTTATCATATTTTAATTTTATAATTATATTTATAATTATTCTATAATTGTAATTATTTATAATTATTCAACCTTATTGATAATACTGACAATAAAAATTAAAAAGGTGACATTACTGTTGTCGATATTCATTCATGTTTTCAAAGTGACATCCAACCTAGACTGAGTTAGTGACTTAACCTGAAGAGGGCAGCGTTTCACTCACAGAGCAGAGGGGGCAGTAAACGGTAGCCCTACATCCATGCTGGAGTGCTGACAAACCAGTCTACTCGCTGAAGATGTGCAGTTTGCAAAGCATTTTGCCGTTACAGCTCGTCATGTTTACAAACCGTATAATAGGCACTTGCTTGATTACTTCATTAATTCACATGAATAATTATATGTAATATTATTTGGCAAGCTGTTTAAGATTTAATCAGTCATCTAATTCTCTCAGTTCTCTTTCTCAGCATGGTGGTGGTGGCCACCGCTGAAGCATCATTATGATTTATTCATGAGCTAAAAGCAAATTCTATATAAACGAATCCCTTTTTTTCTTTCCTACCTGTAAGTCTAGATGTAATAGTGATCATTCTGTGAGAAAGTCCCTCATATCTCTGTCCTCCTCTCTCAGAAGGTGAGGTTGTGTATGCTCTGGATGAGGATAAAGTGTGCAGGGCCATGGCTCAGATGCTGCTGCAGAATGCCGTCAAGTTCAACCTGTCAGAGTTTCAGGAGGTGTGGCAGCAGAGTGTGCCCGAGGGCATGGGCACCAGGCTGGACCAGCTCAGAGTGAGAGGACACACACGTACACATCAGAGATTCCGACTGAATTGGTTGTTTGAGCATCAGTAAGAGTTACTGAACAGCAGTATCGGTTACTGGAGCTGAAAATACAGTAAGGGGCCTCGTTACAGTCGGCTTTCTGTCCCTCTGCTGGTCAGGGTTTGGCTCTGGTGGACCGCAACTCAAGGCCTGAGACCATCTCCCTGCTGAGAGTGGAGGACCTGCCTGAGGACACGCTGGAGCGCTTCAGCGCCCTCTTCAGCATGAGGGAGAAATGGACACAGGATGACATCGAGCCGTATATACAGTGAGTGACTACACACTGATTTAGCCACAAATGAAACTCACACTTTTATTATTGGTGTAAATATTTATCAAAATTGAAAGACGACTGAATGAGCGCTTATTTGATTAAAAATAGTGCAGCATTGTCAGAAGTCAGAAAAAAATAATTATTGGGACGTGTTGTGTATTGTGAAAACTTATTGAATTATCTCGAAGTTATATTTTTGCCATATCGTCACTCAAAATAACTTTCACTTAGATTTCAACTTTTGATAAAACAAAGTAAAAACAGTTTAACAGTACCATACAGATACAGTGCTGTGCAATAATTTGAGCAGCCTGGTCAATTTCCACATTTTATTATTAACATCCTCTACAGTGAACATGCTGCTGCTTATTTTAATGCACAATTACTGTTTATTTGCTGAATTTAACGTATTGGAAGGAAAATGAGAAACTCTGACCTGTGCAAAAGATACAGCACATTTTATTTTTTCCAACATATCACACAAATGTACTTAAATTCAGCACTAAAATATGAAGATAAAAATCAGACTTAAGTGTGTTCCCTGTAGAGGAACTTATTCTCACGTAGAAACTCAACAACCTATGACTTTTTAATTTGAACTGTTTACATATGCCTGCTTCTTTACACGGCTGCACATTACTGCTGTCAGAACAAAACCTTGTATCTCCATTTTTGTCTTTCTTTTTGTTTGTTTTTGTTTGTTTTTCATTTTTGAAAATGCCTGTTGCCCTTATAAAGTTATAATTTTGGATACATGGTTTTCTTTCGACAGCAGTGTTTTGTGGCCATGCAACAGTTTTTAAACTGAAGGACTGCAGAATTGCTGTATAACCCTTTATTAATCGTTGTTGTTTTTTTCTTTGAGATATGGTCAGTCACTCACCGTACCTATCAGAAATAGCTAATAATGGAACCGCTAGTTGGAGAGCTGGTGAATGATGCCCTGTTTCCTTTTGGAAATGTAATTTATGTGATTTTTTTTGGCCAAATTAATCACTTTAAGAAGGTTTTCTTGAGTGATTCATGCCCTTTTCTTAATTCCCACACAGGGATTTGTGTGGAGAGAAACAAACGACAGGAGCTTTGCTGACCAAACATGCCCGGTCATCCATGCAGAACGGGGTGAAAGTCTACAACTCCAGAAGACCGGTAGCAACGTGAAGGCCTTTTATTTCACTTCTGTTTTCAGGCAGAAGGACACTTTTAAACATTGTATGTTTTCACTTTTATTTGTAAAGCCATTGATTTGGTAATAAAAGAATATTACATTGCTGTAATATATTTTGTATATTGCAGGTGATTATTATTATGACTCTTATAATACAGCAGTTGGCTGAGAAGTATTCTACCAGTTTTTTCATAATAACTGTATCATTACATTAAGCACTGCTTGCCAAGCAACAGCTCATTTTATGCCTCAACTAACAGTTACAGTTAAAGTGTTTTACTTTAGAACAGAAAATGGACATATTTGATCACTTCTGTAAGACAGTTAGATTTACTGACATTCTCAAAACCCTGCAGGAGTTTCTTGCGAACTAACGTGACTTTAGATCTAAACAAACATGGCGGATGACAGTGAGGGTGATGTGCTGGTGGTGATGCTTTCTGCACAAAAGCCAAGCAGAAGAAAAAAATAAGGCTAAAAATAAGGGCTCAACGGAGATTATACAGGGTGATTCAAAAAGATTCATCCGATTTCAAAGTGCCATATTTTTACAACCGTGAGGCGCCTAGGAACCAATCACAATCCAATTGAAAGAGGGGGTCATAGAGTGTCTGACTGTCAGTGGAAGATGGCTCCCTTCAGTCTGAGAGGAGATGAGACCCCTGAGCAGAAAGCGTTCTGCGTTCTCCACTTCAATAAGAGTGAATCCGTCATAACTGTGCAGTGTGATTTTCGTGGGCAGTGAAGCTCCAACAGCTCAGAGCGTTCGTCGTTGGTTCCACAACACTGGATGATCTCCGAAATCGCACTGAAAGAGCCGTGAGTGCAGCGACACCCGACATGCTCAATCCAGTATGGGATGAATTTGACCGGCGTTGATGCTGTCCGAGCAATATAATAACGTAGAAGATAAGTGGTTCAAGAAACTACTTTGAGTACTTTGTTTGAAGACAGTAACTCCAGTTTCTAAGATATTTTAAAGCTGAAGTATAATCTGGTTTAATGGCAGGGTTGTCTTGTAAGAGGTAAGAGGTTTATTTATAAAGCATGTAATGTGCTCTTCGCACACACAACTCACATCTACATCCTTAGATTTTTGGGGAACATTTCAGCCATGCTAACCTTACATATGTACCTGCACTAAAAACAGCTTGCTGTTCCTTGGATGATGTTGACAATCACACCAGCGCCCCCTGCTGTGAACTTCACAAGCCATTTGGATTGGTTTAAAAATTCACGCTCAGTTTATTCCCACCAAAATAAGTCTACATTCCCCCCCACATTTAGCCCAGATTTATTCCTAGTTGCCCCCAAGATGTTCTGGCTTTGAGGTCACGTCCAGCCCCAAGAGACTAGCTGAAGCTCTGCCACAGCACTGTGTGTGTGATGGTTTTATGAGCTCTCATATGAAAGACAGCATTATTGTTAATGCATACATTTTCAACACCTGTTGTGTTGATTTAAAGGTTTTAAAGCTTTGTCGCCCCCTCTGGTGAAAATGGAAACTGAGATATACAAATCAAATAAAATCAAGTCACACTTATTGTCACATCACATTTACACAGGTGGAAGGTGAGTGGAAATCATATATTGAATTTAATATATATGTAAGATTATATAAGATGTAATATAAGATATACTGAATATAAAAGTGTAAAACATCTGGTTTTATAATGAAAAGCCACTGAAAATTTCATCTTAATTTCTCAATTTTTCAAAGCTGCATATTTACCCAGTCCTATTGGTTCAATTCATTTCTCTAAACACAAACACACATACAATTTAAGACAGTTATTACAATCATATAAAAGGGGGTCAGGGCTGCAATCAGCAGGGCCAGAGTTAGAAGGCCCAGAGCTGGATGTGCAAATTCCGTGTGGTTCCGGTATTTCGGATTTTTGCAGTCTGGACTATTCGGGTCCGGTCTAGTGTTATTCTTGTTGGCCTCGAAATGGACGGGAAGGCAGTCACCTTCGAGTTCGTCACAGGCTAGAATGATGTACTTCGTCTCTGCGATGACCTGTCATTAGAGGTGAGTAATGTGATATTGTTAGCATGATAAATCACGTGACATCTTGAGTTCCTCTAGAACACTGTACAACTGCATACAGCACCCAAACATATTATCTGTCCAAGCTCCGCCCACAAATGCTTTCGCTAGCTACTGTTTCGCGACTGGACAAGCTTTAGAAAAGCACTGGATGGAAATGCATTCAGCATTATGATGAACAGTTTCTGTTAATATACGTACATTTAATTATTGTATTGTTTTTAATGCTTTCTATTATGAACATAAAACAGATCAGGTGAATTTTTTGTTGTGCAATTGAGGTTTATAGAAACATTTGATTGATAGTCTGGCTTCATCGGTTTAGATCTTGGTAGCTAGCTAAATTAGCGTCTTAGCCCACACCACTATTTACTGTAGCAGTGTTGAAGATATTGTTATGTACAGTCTGTTCTACAGTTTCTCATTAGGTTGAATGAATAACCGACTCTAAATGTAGGTTTTGTGATATAAACTGAGTCTGTTCTACAGTTTCTCATTAGGCTGAATGAATAACCGACTCTAAATGTAGGTATTGTGATATAAACTGAGTCTGTTCTACAGTTTCTCATTAGGCCGAATGAATAACTGACTCTAAATGTAGGTATTGTGATATAAACTCAGTCTGTTCTACAGTTTCTCATTAGGCTGAATGAATAATCGACTCTAAATGTAGGTATTGTGATATAAACTGAGTCTGTTCTACAGTTTCTCATTAGGCTGAATGAATAACCGGCTCTAAATGTAGGTATTACCCACTAATTTGTCACATTTCCACTAGTTTAGTAAAAAAAATAAATTATCAAAAATGCTTATTTACACTATTAATTTTTAAGTTTTGCAGCTTTTTTTTTTAACTGAGCTCTATTTAACTGGTTAATTTTATCCACCCAAGTTGTTCACAAATTTCAGAAAATCTAAATTTCATGTATCAAAAAAATGTTTTTTTAGTTTCATGATCACTAAATTTTTGCCATATCGCCCAGTCTTACCCGTTTTACTTTGCAGTTGTTGTCCACGTACACTGTAGTGAATCTGAACTCTTGTTTGCTGATGCACATATTATTACGATATGTTTTACCCCCAGAAGGAGAGCACACATTGTCCACTCTCTGTTTATCAGAATAGGGCAGGAAAGACTGGATCGGTCGGTCACAGGTCCCGATTTGCTGAATAAAAGCCTGCCATCGGTTCTGGTCCAGGGTTTCTGGAGTGCCTGAGCGCACATGCTTGTTCAGGAATCTGTTGTAGGCGTTGGTATTGTCTGAGTGCATGCAGGGGTACGGATTGTACTCCAGCGTTGGTGATTCGTTAGCCAGAGAGGCGCCGACCCACATGGTCACTATGATGAAGAGCAACATAATCCAGCTGTTACCTGAAAAAGGGCATGAAAGTAAGGGATGTAAATCTGACCTCACAACAAAATAACAAACTTTCCCCACAATTCAGTTCAATTTGATTGAAGGAACTATTTACACGGTGGTGGAATATAAACAATGTGTTTATTTATTCATTTATGTATGTTTTGACCAAAAGGCAAGCTCATGCTTTATTTAGTTTTATTAAAATCCACTATAATATTTTAAAATCAATGCATTTTAGTTTCCATAAAAGATCTTTCATTCACCAACATATACATAAATTGTCTTTTGATTTGTCTACATTGCTAATTCATTAAGTTACATTACCTGTGTTGAGCGATAGCCTAGAGCACTGTTATCCCACCATTTAATGACCTCTGTTTTCTGTTAGCAAAGCACTTCCTCTTCTCAGAGTCCAGAAAGTGATCTTTCTCGGTCCAGCCCACACTGACCTCACTTACGGGAACTCCTGAGAACAACAAGGCACAGAGTGCTTTTATCTTCCCCCTCAGAAGTATTCCAGTAAGCCTCTGTGAAAATGTCTGGACATATACAACCTCAAGCAAAGGCCAAAATCCAATCGGCGTGCTTTAACTGTGTTACATATTTAAGTGGTTGTTCACTGTTCACAGTGGTGGTGATAGGAACCAGACGTCCACCTCTAAAAGCTCCCTCACAGAAAGTTACCACATGAAATGGTTATGAATTCACTGCCTGATGACTGAGACACTGTTTTATGATAGTCTTGTGAAGACTTTGTTCTTAAACTCCATTCATGGTGGAGGGATACATAATATGCAGGGTGCTGTGAGGCAAAACAGTCCCCAAAGAAAATTTATTATTTCAGATTTTCCACTATTTTCCATCATCAACATTCCATATAAACTCAGAAGACTCGTGTAGGTTCACTGGTGGTTCTGGATAGTAAATAAAATGTCTATATTTGTGTTGTAGTCATGGCGACCCCTGGTTCCTATCACCACCACTGTAAAGACATCTGAACCATTTCACACCAAACCACTCTGAATGAAATTTCTAAATAATCATTGGAATTTCCCCTTTAAGTGAGGAGGGTCTGGCTGCAGACATGCACCCTCAGTCTGACATGCACTGCCAGCCTATTAATGACGTCAGTGTCGCTCTGCCACGACAGTCAATGGAACCAGAATTCTTTCCAAGTCATTTTGAGACGTTTATTTTGGTCCATTCATCATGAAATTTACACACAATGTAAAGGGCAACAGGCATTTTCAAATTATGTCAAAAATTTAAAAAAAATGGAGATACGAGGTTTTCTTCCGACAGAAGCAATATATTAACGTTGTCATACTGATAATAAGGTAATTAAATATGGAAACTATCAAAATAAAACCTACCACAACGACAAGCATGAATTCATTCATCAAACAATCAGGCTACCACTGAAACTCATGAAAGCCATGCTGAAGACAATAACTGTTAAATAATCAAATAAAACCTGATGGTTTCGCTTCCTAGCAAGAATTGGCTTGATGGTTGCCATTAGAGACCACTAGGCAATAAACAAATGTATCTGGAATCAGTCCCAAAACATCTGATTAAATTATTTGAATCCTTTACACTGTGATATCAACTCATCAGGAAAACACAGAATACCATTAGCGACTACTGGACACCACCAGGAACCAGCAGACACTTTTAATGGGTTCTATGACTTTTTTCAACAGGGAAGTAGATTAAACTGAATTCTCTGGCTGTGTTACGGACAGAAAATGGATGAAGTGATGATATCGCTAAGCAGAAACAACCAGAAGTTACCGTGCCGTTGGGCTGCTTCTGCCAGACTCTATTGCTTTAAGTTGTATTGAGTTTTTGATTACATTTTTGCATGTCTGTGTTTGTTTATGTGCAAAACAAACCACAAACACATATTAATAGTGTTCAGATGTTCACACAAGCTCACAGACTGTTTGCTTCCACTGCCCTGTGTTCCATTCGTAATGTTTGCGTCTCTATGTTTGCACTATGTCCAGTTTTTATCGCGTTAGATAAGCTGGAATTTTGACCTTATTGTTCTTGTAAACGTCATTGCATTACATTTAGACAGAATGACATTAGAGAAGGTGAGCAGTTTACTGTTTACACAAAGCAAATGTAATACAGCACAGTGCACTGAGTATATTAGTTTACTTATATTGCAGGCAACTTTATGAAAAACACCCAGTGTCAATCGGTGATGAAAGTGCTAGCCCATATGGAAAAAAATATATTCTAAAAATGTTTATCAAATATATTTTTGCAGTTTATGAAAATGGCCAAAAATGTATTTGTTAAATATATTTTTAAAATGCATTTATTTGTGTTTATTATATTTGTTCCATTGTGTGTAATGAAGGTTACAGATGTAACTAAACGTTCTGACGTCTGTGATCTGCACTGTTCTTTACATTAACCGTTACGTCTGCAGTCAGACTCTCACACACAATGTATTTCACATGAACAAGATATTAAATCATAACTGCATTTTCACAGAGTATCAATACCCACAACACTCGCTTCTGTCCTGTTAAAGGATCATTAGATCATATTTACAATGAAGATACTGGAAATTAATTTCTAAAGGAATCAGACAGTGAAGAGCATCAGACAGGATTTTGGCTACTTTCATACATTTTCCATTGTATTTGATAAACAGATTTACATACAGTTATTTTTGTATAGTACATTTCTATGTGTAATATTTCCCCATACATTTTATAATATATTTGGTTAATACGGGAATAAATCCTGAAATGCATTTTAGTGTTTGGAATGTATTTCAGCGTAGACTGCAGTGTGTTTGACTATTTGTGTTTCAAATATATAAAAATACATGTCCAAATATTTTTTTCCATATTGAAGGCCTTCAGTTCTGGGCCATGAATGTCAAACCTCAGTCAAAAAATTAAGGAAAAAAAACACACCTATACATTAATGCTAATTTCTGTTAGCAACACGTATGCTAACCCTAAACTAACGATAATGGATAACATTACATGACATGATTAACATAACATTTTTTGGCTTTTTTTTTAGCTTAATCACAGATATTTGAAGCTTGTGACAGACATTTTCATATTTCTGAGCTTGTATTTATCAGTTATACAGTGACTCTTTCACTAAAGAGCCCTGGCATAGAGCTGCCGCCGCTGTTTTCCATTCCTAACAACTAACTGGAACACTACTTAGACTATGACTCATATTCATAGTGACGTATCTAGAACTTCCAGAAGGCCTAGAGTGATGTTTTTTTTCTCCTGTTGTAAACCAAAGCATGATTGGTTGATTCCTCTGTCATTTCTTAGTTATGTTGGTAGTTGATCTAACGTCCAAGGCCTTCATTCCAGCTCCTGAAGTCCTGACTAATGAAGTCCCAACCAGCTTGGCTCTATCTTCCTGCTGGGCATTTAAAAAAATGTAATACTTTTATTTCCGACAAAAAATTGAACAAGAAACAAGACTATTACTACAATAATTAGGGTTTTAATTCAAGTATGATTCTATTGGCTAAAAATCAGATGTATAATTTACTTCTCAGAAATTCTCTGAAGGCCTTGAAGGTCCAAAAGCTCCCCCACTGCCATACTGGAAGCGGTGCTTTCACTATTGCTCAGACAGAAATTGCTGAAGAAAGCACTTCAGGCTCATTTCCCTTATCTGCTTCTGATCTGCAAAAATGTAAAAACTGTAGTACAGAAAAACTCCTAAGCTCATCCCTGTACATGCACTCACACCCTTAATCATCCTGCTTTCTTCCTGTTTTATGTTTAGTTCTCAGAAGGGCTTTCAGAAGCCAGTGGTCAGCAGTTTTGACCTTTATGCACTTCATGGGCGCTTTGCTTCTCTTCTTGTTTTTAATTTCTGGGCTGGTTTTAAAATTTTAAGGCCACTTTTGTCCCAAGGTAACACTCCATCAAGCTAAGGACAGATGCCACCCAAAGCCCCAAAACAAAGCAAACTTGACAGTCCTTCTTATCCTCAGTTACCTTGTTAGTGTGATGCACCTTGTTCAGATTGTTTCACATGTGATCTACACTTCCTGATAAAGAGCTAAATATCAGTTATCGAGTCTCAGTTGTGAGCAGTTTAAAGGTGAGTGTGAACCTTTTTATCAAACTAAACTGCCTTGGCAAGATGTTTAGTGCAGACATATGATAAAATCTAAATATAAAATCTAATGTTATAAAATCTAGATAAAATCTAAACGTTAGCCAATTTAAAGTGATTAAAGTGAACGGCATTCTGGAAACTATGTTTACATTAATCACACCAGGGAAACTGTTTAGTCACTCGACGTTAAACATTGAGGAAGAATGTTTAGCCACTGAAGCTGCCCCATCAGATGAGCTACTGCCAAAGCTAACACTGGAGCTAATCAGAGCAATGTTACTCTAATAATTCAGACTAATTTACTGCTATACTGGAAAAAAAACAGAACAGGTCAATAACTTCACAACTTTGTAAGGTTAATTTTTTGCCATATATTCATAAACCTGCACCGGCTGCACATTTCATTTAATTGCAGGGTTTAATAAAGAAGCATTTACTAGTGAACAAGTACTGGTGCATTATTAGGTGCTAGTGGTTCCCCAATGGAGAAGAGGTAGTAATCATGAGTGTAACTTTGTTTTAGAAAGTGCGGAGGAGGAGGTTTAGAAACGTGCAGGATTTGTAGAGGCAGTAAAATGTCAAAACAGACTTACATCCCAATCCAAAACTCTAGTGAAGTCCCACATCTCTCAGGTAAAGTTGTCAAACGTTCAGTTAAGGCTAACTGGTAGCATCTGTAACACCTTGGCTAACAGACTAAAAGGTTCAGCACAAATAAACACTGAGACGCCCACAGAGGAGAACATCTAAAACATTTTATTAAACTAAACTGGCTTTACAAGATGTTCAGTGCAGACATGCATGTTTAAGAACTGATAAAATCTAAATGTTAGCCAATTTAAAGCAATTCAGGAATACATTCTGGACACCATGTTTACAGTAATCACACCAGGGAAACTGTTTAGTCATTTGACATTAAACATTTCAGGTTTTCACGTCTAATAAGGAACAGTGTCTGAGCGACTGAAGCTGCACCTTCAGATTTAGTAGTGCAGCATCCCTAGTCTAAACTCTACACCCACTACCCTTCCATCAGGGAACAGGAAGATCATGGAGAAACATAAATACAGTAAATTAACATGAAAATGAACAGCAAAACACAATTTACTGCATATGATACAATTCATTATAATTTAGAGAAACAGTCATAAATATATAATTATAGACATTTTTTACATCCAGTGCCAGTGGCTGTCAGCATAGAGGTGTGTCCTAAATGCCACCCGGTACTGGGACACTCCTCAGATCCAACAATCACCCCTAATCAACAATTTCACAGTCAAATAAACTTCAAACAGTGCAATGTACAAATGTATATTACAAGCCATATGTCATGTGGTTGCAATGGAATGGGCACAATAAATTACCTTTATTGATGCAACCATGCATCTAGCTGTAAATTAAGTAAGTAAACTTTTTAGTGTTTTAATGTAAAATATGATGATTTTCTGTGTGAACAGCTGTTCAGAGCTGTGTTTGCTGGTCATGTATGAGTTTCTGAGCTCAAAATGAGCTAAAATGGTCACCGAAACATTTGGTCAAATTTCAGTGGTGTTATCATTGTTTTGGTAGTGACAAAATATGATGTTTAGGTTTTAATCTGAAGTCCAAGTTAAAAGTCCGAAACGTGATTTTTAACTCGCGTTTTTTCATTTCAGAATTTAAAATGCCAATTCAGCCAATTAAAGACTGAGTAATGTGGTTCATATTGTGACTTTGGCTGATAGACAGTGGTAGAGTTTCATGTGTTCATTTTGCCCACTCAATGTGTACATTTTACACTTTTTAAAAAAAAAAAGGTCAGCAAATTGGCTATAAAGAAAGTAGAATTGGACATATGAATTGATGACTGTTGCATTCCTAGTAATAAATATAAATCTTCAGCTTTACCTGTGCTGTTCCGGCAATACACAGGACTGAACAGGTAAAATCTTCAGAGGACAGTGAATATCATCATCATAGAAAAATGGAAAGACTTTCTCAGTGAATCTGTGTTTTATAGTGTGTAAGTGTTTGTTAGTGAGAGAATCAGTGAATGACAGTTTTCCTTGGTTCCAGTCCAGCTGTACTGTGATCCTCCGGAGTTTGTGTTGTATTGGGAGGGGAGTGCGTTTTCCTGTTAAAGTACCTGCTGCATATACACCGTTATACAACAGCATCCCCCACATTCCAACCCTGGAGTCTACGTTTCCTTTCCTACTAGCAAACTCTTCAATCACACCCAGACCCCAGAATTTACTGTCTCCAACTTCAACATCCCAGCAGTGCAGCCCTGAGTTAAAGCCCACCGATCCCAGGACAAAATGCTGATAATCAAATCTCTCTGGATTATCAGGAAGCTGCTGTCTCTCATCCCCAAGTCTCACAGTGGTCAGTTCATCAGACAGGATGAGTTTAGGATGAGCAGTGTTGGGGTCCAGAGTTACAGGAGCTACAAAACAACAAACAGAACATGCATCAGGCATATAAACACATACAAAACTGAGTTGAATTGGCTTGTAGCTTCAGTTGTCAAGATGAATAAATTCACTTCTGTAAAATCACTACTGTGAGCCTCTCCTTCTGAAGGGATGTCAATTCTCTTTCGTCTTGTGTTCGAGATCCACCTATGGGAGGGATATCAGTAGCTGAGCTCTGAGAAGCATCTAACTGCACCAAGTCTGACTTGAAAGACAGGAGCACGTGTCCAATGCTGAAGGAGGTCTGCCACACCCACAGGCATATAGGACCGAGTCACACTACCACTACCTCGTTTCACATGTACAGCTCGACCCGATTTCCTTTCGGCTTTCAACTGTCCATGGAAAGACGCATCCCTTGGGATCAGCCTTCACCGGGCATGAGTGTCCGAGAGAGATAAGCTGTTTTGCCTACTTGCTATCCACTCTTGCTGGCAGGGAGGTCCCACAACAGAGCCATAATGCCTATATGCCTGACTATAACTACTGCAAATGGATATTACATATGTATTAGGCCCTGCTTGTAGGGTATTTATGATAGGTATGCTACTTCAGTATGTACAGTAGCCTGCTGCTTCATGGAGTAGTAGTAATATGGCTGTGCACAGTAGTTTGTGTAGAGCACAATAGCATAGCTATACCTTAGCCACACAAATAACAGTAAGTAAGGGTTTTATTTCATATTTATATTATAATAATTATTTTATTTATTTTACTGTTTGTGTCTCTAGAAACATGTGATGTGAAGTTAGCTTCCTGGAGTGGGTTTTAAACATAGAATGCATCTGTAGCTTGGTGGGACAGCATGTGTGCAAGTGGGCATTTTATTATCCAGAGGGATGGCATGTTATCATCCAATTGGATGATTTTTGTCCAATTGGAGTGAGGCGTGTTTGGCATCCAGTGACATAAGCTTTCCTTCACTGTTCATGAGAACAGGCTTATGTCACTGTTTTACTGCTCTAACGAATCCTTTAATATTACATTTGAAGTGAAAGTTGTTGATAGAGTGATTCACATCAGTGTTGTTGCCCAGTTCTGTGATTCTGTAAGCCTAAATTTGCAGTCTAATAAATTAAAAGCTGTTTTAATTATTAGGTTGCTCTTCATGCCTCTCAGGGGAAACCTGTGGTTCACCATTTAAACCATTACACATTAATTAACTAAATCAGGGCACTTGATTTAGCCGACTCATTCCTCTGTAAGCCTCTTCGTAACCTCCTGCTGACCGGAGGTTTGTCTGGTATGGTAATTTTGGGGGTCTTTCTGTTGCTCTCCCTGCCTTAGCCTTTCCATGTATGCACATGGAAGGGCAAAGAGGTCACAGAACAGAGCCAAATATAACTTACTGCAAATGGAAACAAAATATTTTTGTTGAAAGAAAAGTCTTCCTGACTGAAGTAGAGTTTGCTAGATGCGTCGACTGGAATGTGGTTCTATGGACAGAGCTTCTCGGCAAGAAATACTCAAGGTGGCTTTTGTGTAAAAAGAGGTAAGGACCTCATCCTCACTGTTGAACATGATGAAAAATCTGTTTGTCATCCAAAAGCCACATGGTGTCATGGACTTTGCATGAAGTTCCAGGAGATTTTCAATGGAAATCTGTGAGCTCAATGACCACAGAGTGAGAAACTTGTTGAAAAGCTGTGGTGTGAGCTGAAGAAGAATCCAAAAGAGAGGACCTCCAGATCTGGAGTATCCAGACAGGTTCTGTACTGAGGAGTGCTCTCAGACTGCATGTTCTGTATTTTCCAATCTCATCAACTATTACAGGAGAAGAACTGTTGCTGTTACATTGGCAAAGAGATACTAAATGCAGGGGTGTCAATAATTAAGACGTGTGACTTTATTCAATTATTTTTTGATGGTTATTGTTTTCTTAGACTACATTTACTAAATTTAAGAATTTCGAAATTGGTTATCCTTCATTAAAACAATAAAAATACACTTAATTTCTCCTAAGACAAAGAAAAGTTGATCTTAAGAAAACGATTCTTTGGGTTGTGACTAATCAGATCCCTCTATACTTCTGTACTTGGTTCGGGTTCCAGCACTGTTTTACAAAAACCTGGTTGTTCAATATCGCTGCAGATGATGTAGAACCTTGTGAGCCACGTTACCACATCCTCACTCACTCACTTCGGAATACAAACATTCAAATGTGCAAAGTTCAAAAAATGCAGGAAAAACGAAGATAAAAACTTACAACACTGAACAATCTCCTTCATCTTCTGCCAGACTGTGAACTTCAGGTTGGCCAGGTGTTTTGCCACATGAAGCAGCTCTACTGAAAGCTTCTCTGGATCCTGCAGTTTGTGCTGGGCTCTGGAAGCACATTTAGGATTTAGTTAAGCTGAAGGTCTTAGAACCACAGAAAATAGAGAGATAGAAGACAACACCACTCACCTTTCCAGTGTGACCTTGTAGTTCTGTAAAACAATCAGGGTAACATCAATGAATGTGTAATGGAAGAAATATTATTTATTTATTATTACAAAAGTATTATATTTGTCTGTGCCCTGTCAGAAAAAGGTTCTGTGCAGGTACAAACAATGTAAACATAACCTGAAAGGTACAACAGTGGTTTTGGGATCTAACTGTGTGTCTTTGATAACATTATTCCCAGGATAAAGGTATGTTTTTGTACCTTTTCATAACCTAATGTTTAGAACAGAACTATAAAACAAAATAGCCTGGGGTCAAGACAAAAAAATCAAATGTTAAAAAAAATGAATTGCAATGGAATATGGTACAATTACGTTTCCTAAATAAACTTTGGCCGTCCTTACTTGTACGAATGAGACGTCTTCAGCTCCCATCTGTTGTTCTACGGCTCTGATTGTGTCTGAAAGTGCTTCTATCTCTCTGCTCATCTTCTCAATCTTCTCCTTCATCATCTGACTCTTCTGCTGCTCTTCCTCCCTCAGAGCTGCTATCCTGGCTGCCTCTTCATCTCGTAGAAACTGGTGGAGCTTCTCAAACTCCTCCTTAATCTGCCTCTCTGTGTCCTGGGACTGAGTCTGGAAATAGAGAGTAACTCAAAAAGATGAATGATATTCAGAATCATAATCTCTGAATCTCAGTAGTTCTTCATTCTTACCTTAATATGTTTAGCAGCCTGATCCCAGTTCAGTTTGCATTGTTTAAAGATCTCCTGTTTCTCCTTTAGGAACTCAAGTTTAGTCTGAAAAATCAGATAAACAGCACTTAAAGCTCTCATCTCTGAGAGAGAGGAGAAAATCAAGCTGCTTCAGATCTGAAAACATCCACAGGTGTTTCTGTCCATCCTTCCACTGTGAGAAGACGACTCAGCGCTGTGGGTCTGAAAGGAAGTGTAGCTGTCAAGAAGAACCTCACTGAGAAAAGGAGACGGACACATCAAACAAAGAAGCTGAACGATGGACTGACCACCCCAGAGTCCAGACCTCAACACCACTGAATGTGTTTGATTACTTCAGAAAATGATCAACCAGCTTCTAAGACTGAACTTTGGAGGCGTGTCTGCAGATTCTTTGAGGAACTGAAAGTGAGTCTCCTGAAAAGAATGGAAGCTGGAATAAAGGTAAAGAGAGACTCACTGAACACTAATCACTGACCCCTGACTACTGTGGGTTTCTGTCACTGAAAATGACACTCTATCATTGAGTGGATCCTACAGTGTGGGTCCACTTCTTCTGAGTGAACATGTTAACATTCTGTTACAGGGTTATTAAAAAGAACTGAGAGTGTTTTCTGTAGAGTCTTTGCACTTCTCACCCTCTTTCTTACTCTAATTGAGTCTATGATGTTAGAAACAAAGCCCTGGTGAGCTAAAATATGAACAAAAAGCAGGGAAAATGAAATATGAAAAACTGCTGCCCTCCAGCATTTTAGTCAGCATGTAATTTCAGCCTACCTTGTATTCCTGCGCTACCTCCTGAAAAGCACAGAACTTGTGGTTGGTGTGCTCTTCAGAACCACAACAATCCACACACACAGGCTGTTGATCGTCCAGACAGAAGAGTCTGAGTTCCTGACTGTGCTGACTGCAGAGCGTCTCAGCCTTTCCTGTTAGGTTCCTTAAAGAGAAGTTTAATGGAATGTTCAGTGAAGATTTTCTCCTACAAACCGGACACTCTCTGGATCCTTTGATGACCCAGAACTGCTGCAGACACAATTTACACGCTCTGTGACTGCAGCTCAGAAGAACAGGATCACTGAAGATTTCCCAGCACATGGGACAGGAGAGCTCATCCTCGGAGAGAGAAGCCATTTTTCTGTAACTGACAGGCACCTGTTTTTTTGTGGGAATGAATCCTAATTTCCACTCTGTTTTCAGACGTGTTGCTCAGATGTTCCTTCCTTGCTTTACATCCGAATGTTCTGTTGTTGCAGCTCTAAGCTGTTCGTGTCGTCTCAGGATTATCTTACATGGTAAATAAAGGCGTGTCTGGAATGCTGTCAGGGTGGACACAGGTGACATTTGGCTCTCTGATTTTGATCTTCACTCTTGAGATTCCTCACAGAGGCTGCCCAGAAGCAATGCAGTTCCACATATGGGCCTCCTGTGCTGAGCATGTTTACAGTATACAGTTTTTCTTTCGTTTACACAGAAGCCATATTGTCAAACCAGCTAACACACAACACTAAACAGACGCTTGCTGGTGAAAACAATGCACTTTGTAAAGGGTCAAAAAAATCAACAAACGACAACAAAGCAAACTTTTCTAATGCTGCAACTTACAATCAGAAGAGTAAATTGCTTCACTTTGTAAATAACAACCAAAAGAACCACTAAAAACAGGTTTCAGTTTAAACCTTTTCAGCATTCATTAGTGCTGTATGTATGTGCTGTTCTATCTGCTCATACTTTACTGTAAATAAGGCTGGAATATTTAAGAATATTGCAGAGTGAAAACTATTCTTTTCTCCTGAGTGTTATATTTTTCAGAAACACATTTTATTTCAGTGCAATCAAAAATATTACAAACAAATAAAAGTAATGTTTTTTCCCTTTGTTTTCTCTTGACACAAAGGCGAGAGTGGTGGAAGGCAACATTGTCCCAAAAGCCAGGGTACTCGTCATTAGGGGGTAAACTGTGTTCGAGGAACCCAAAGAGAAGACCCTAGCTTACATACTACACCATACTGAAGTGAAATTTCCAGTGAAATTCAGACAGAAGTAGAAACAATATCATCAATCAATCCGTCAATACGTTGTAGCATCCATTTTATATTTTTTAAAATTCTCAATAGGTAACTCTGCAATTGTACAAATAGTCTTTACACAAGAGCAAACTTTTCTTTTCCTTATATTTATTTATTTTGGGAGGATGGCAGATGTTTTACAATCTCAATAAATAAGTCTGTCATTGTGTAAATCAGCTTTACATGATGATAGTCTTACCTGTTACCTACTCCTCAACTGATAAGCACTGTCTACAGTCTGCTTTATCTATGCTAACAATCAGAAACTGCCGGAAAACAATTTCTCAGGCAGTGAATTCATAACCATTTCATGTAGGAACTTTCTGTGAGGGAGCTTTTAGAGGTGGACGTCTGGTTCCTATCACCACCACTGTGAACAGTTCTGACTCGGCAAGTTTCTCTAGAACGGAGAGTTTCACACCAAACCGCTCTGTTTACATCTGAACCATTAAATTATGCAGAAATGTTAAAGAATATGTGCCGCCCCCCCTTTACTGCTGTTTGTTTGTTGTTTAAAATGTCCCTATTAAGGCATGTGACTCTTTCTTAAAGATATTATCAGTGCTTTAACAGCGGGAATTCCAGCACCGTGGAGAAGGATGCCTGTCTGAGTCACTCTGAGAAATCCGGCCCATGAGCTCTATTGCTGGTAGAGCTTTAATTGTTCTGAAATTTTGATCGGGACTCAAATACAGCCGAAAGTACTGAACTGACACTCAGCATTGGGCTTTGACCCGACAAAATTCTGTCCAAACCTGACTTGACCCAAACATCATGGATGAGGATAACAGAATTCTCTCTGGGCCCATCATCACCTACAGTGTGGAATAAAACCTGACAGGACGGTGCTGGTGTCCTAAAGAATTGTGCTACCTTGACGAAATATCCTACCCTAAATATCCTAAAATAATCTAAACACAGTGAATATGGATCTAAACACAGTGAATATGGATCTAAACCTGTTGAATTTAACTAGAACTCCTCAGCTTTCCTCTTTTCAGCCAGACATCCAGCACTCAGTAGCTGATAAATCATCTTCTCACTAAGAGATCTGATCGCTTAAATCCGCAGAAGCCTTTGTGGTCATCTGGGCCATGACTTGCAGAAGTTTGTGAATCCCTGATGCAGAGGAATGACTGTTTTATTCTGTTTATTCTGGTTTTGTTGACATTCAGTAATACCTCAGTGTCCAGTTATCTCAGCCAGAGGCAAGTCCTCTGAAGCTGTCCTGTGGTGCCTGGCACCAAGACGCTAGGAGCAGGTCCTTTAAAAAGTCCTTTAAGCATCTGTGGGATGCGCTGGAACAGCAAGTCCAAACCACGGTGGCACCTCAGGACTCAAGGATCTGCCGCTAATGATGCTCTGCTGGGGTTCCAGCAGGTCCATCTCGCAGCTTGCAGGACCTAAAGGATCTGCTGCTAACATCTTGGTACCAGATACTACAGGGCAGCTTCAGAGGACTGGTAGGGTCCATTTAAATGATCTTGGTGCACCAAGACGTTAGTAGTCCCATAAGTTGTGAGGTGCTGCCGCCATGGATCAGACTTGTTGTTCCAGCACATCTCACAGGTGCTTGATCAGATTGAGATCTGGGGAATTTGAAGGTCAGAGCAACATCTTGCGTTCTTCCTCATGTTCCTCAAACTGTTCCTGAACATTGTGTGGAGTGTGGCAGGCTGAAAGAGGTCACTGCCATCGGGGAATACTTTTGCCATGGGGGTAATATAACTTCTTCATCAGTCCAAGGTCCAGCTCTGACACTCACGTGTCCATTGTAGGAGCTTTTGATGGTGGTCAAGGGTCAGCATGGGCCCCATGGACCAGAATCAGATTTAAAAACTATTCATTGCTACACCTCTTACAGTATGTATATAATTGGTATTTACAAATCATCAGATGCAGTAGCATCTCTACTTGTGCTGTTCCAGTAATACAGAAGACCGAGCAGGTAAAATCTTCAGAAGAGAGTCAATATTATCAACATAGAAATATGGAAAGACTTTCTCAGTGAATCTGCGTTTTGAAAGTGAGTAAGTGTTTGTTAGTGAGAGAATCAGTAAATAACAATTTTCCTTTGTTCCAGTCCAGCTGCACTGTGATCCTCTGGAGTTTATGCTTTATTGGGAGAGGAGCAGGTTTTTGAGGTGAAGCAGCTACAGCATATGTACTGTTATACAACAGCATCCCCCACATTCCACTCCTGGAGTCCACATTTCCTTTCCTGTTAGCAGACTCTGTGATCACACCCAGACCCCAGAATTTACTGTCTCCAACTTCAACATCCCAGCAGTGCAGCCCCTGAGTTAAAGCCCACCGATCCAAGAACAAAACGCTGGCAATCGAATCTCTCTGGATTATCAGGAAGTCTCACAGTGGTCAGTTCATCAGACAGGACGAGTATAGGATGAGCGGTGTTGGGGTCCAGAGTTACAGGAGCTACAAAAAACATGTTGAAGATGCATCACGCACTTATAAGTATACAAATCTGAACTAAATTTAGTCAGCTAGTTACCTCAATTGGCAAAATTAATAACAACTGTCATAAAATGAGCCTCTACCTTTTGAGGGACATCAGCCTACAAAAGAAGCTTTTACCCTTGGATAAAGTGGAAAACTTTTAGTTTTCACTAAAATACAAATGCAGAAAATGGTGATAGGCACAGATTTTTCGACTAAGTGAAAGTGAAGCACTAGCAAAGGGGACTTGTTTCTGCGCAATCTAATCAAAACATCAGATTTTAAGATTTTAGACTGATGTTCTCAGGAGTCTCAGGAGTTGGATGACGGCAAAGTGAGAAGGACTTCATGGGCCATTAAATGGGCCAATGTGTGCTCTGTCTCTGAACTGCTGGGGCCACAGCCACATACAGTTGACAGGACAAAATGTTGCCATTACTGTAACCCAAATTTTTTTAAACACTTGAGTGGGGCGATCCACCTATGGGAGGGATACCTGTATCTGACCTGTAAGCGTCTAATTAGGCCGATAAGTCTGGCCAGACAAACAGGAGCGTGTGTCCAATGCTCATGGAAGGCCTGTCCCACCTGCAGGCCTTTAGGACCCCGTTACGCTACTTATCCTCAGTGAACATATTTGCTTCTTGTGCTGATCTCTCCACTTGAAGTTTCAGAGGACTGTGGTTACAGTAATAGTAACCTGTTGATCTCTTTCTTGTGTTCAAGTTCGAGATTGACTTATGGGTGATATGGACAACTCCCTGGTTGCCCCATATGGTCAGAGTGAGGCAATTGGAGCTAGAAAAGGATTGTCACCTCATAAAGGTGTTGTTTGACACATCCTGTCTAATAGGTCTCTGTACAACCCAAAAGCAGGAACTACCAGTGTCCTAGTGACATCAAGCCAATAGCATCTCACAAAAGTGCAAGGAGAGCCAAACAAATCTCCTGTAATGAGACCCCCTGAAAAAGGGCCCTGGACATCATCAGCTGGGACCCTTTGGAAGCATGGCCTCAACAAGCCAGTGAGATAGGCGTTGCTTCAAAATAGTCTTTCCCGTATGAGGGGGTGCCCAGGAAATAAACAGCTGTTCACTCTGCCTAAAAACTTCAGTCCTGTCCAAGTACACTGGGAGGGCCCACAAAGGACAAAGCACATTTAGCTTCTTGTCCACCGTGGAGAAGAAGGGTAACCAGTGCTAAAGCTCCAGTGCACAGAGGGTGGGCACCCCTGTAAAGGGTGGGGCTGTTTCCCCAGGTGAGAGTTTTTTCTTCTTCACTTGGGGGAGGAAAACTCAAACATGTGTCCAGTAGGCTGGTAGCCTGAGAACCTGGACTTGACTCTCCCTGAGGCTGTGCATTAGGCAGGTGTCTTCCTCTTGGGGTCAGAGGAGATGGGGCCAAGGTGTTTTTTTGGCCACAGCCATGGCGAAGGATATTGTTCCCCAGGCCTTGGGTGAGGGGCCAGGCTGCTGGCTGGGAGGCTTGTTGCTTGGCCTGCCTGAGCTCTGCTGGACATGGTCCATAGGAGGGATTGTATTGGCTGCATGGGAGAACAGTGGATGTGGTGCTACTTTCCAGGAAAGGCATAGCTTAAATGTCTCATCCACTTTTTTAATCACATCTTTGCTGCATGAGGGCTACAGCTGGGTCAAAAAGAGCCTGGCCTGGTTCCACAGGGGTCCCTGCAATGCGTCTCTTCTCACTGTCAGACAAGCATTGCGCAGGACGAGACTATTAACAG